TGAACTCAGCTTGATTTAAAAAGAGCACTCTTGCAGGCACACATGCAGTGTGACGGATTCATGGAACTCCCAGCTTTGGGGGCCCATCTCTCACTCCATTGTCCCGCAATCCTTGGTTGGTAAAGCCTTGCCATGCTACACCGGCTCTTCCTGCTCTTCACCCCAATGTTGAGAACCCCCATTCGCCCTCCCTTTGAAGTGTTTTCAGTCAGATCTATTGCAATATGTCACATCCTCCCTTCCTTTGATTTCCCCCTCTTTCTAGCTTCCCAGCTTCCACAGCATCCCCCTTTCTTCCCCCTGCTCCCTAAACTGAAGCATCACACCATGCAGCCACTCACAGCTCACTTTTGCCTAATCTTTCACTCCCCCACTTCTGGGACAAGCCTTCTGTAAGTTAGCCTGCCATTCACCTTTTTCTGGAAAAAATCTCTGGCCTTGCCTTCTCAGGTGTCTTGTGAACCACAAATGGTGATAATAAACGAATAATAATAATAATTGCAAGGAATAATAGTTGTGAGGATACTCTAACCCAAACCTAGACCAATACCCCTTAAATTACACACACTGTGCTACTATATATTGTGGTTAAAAAAGAAATAAAACTAGTTTTTGGATCAGCTCTTTCAGACCTGAGAGAAGCCTATTAGAATATAGCCAGGCCTACAGGAGAAAGAGATTCTCCTAACACTAAAGTTATTTGTGGTCCTGAAGGGCTAGTTCCCTGAACATGGAAACGTAGATGCCAGGCATATATAGAATGCACGTCCCATGCAAATATAGTTACGACCACAGTGTTCCGGTTCAGTCATCATGGAAAACTCCTTTAAAACGACATAATATAAAGCAAGCCATACAAAGAGAGAGACAGGAGTACCTGGGCACATGGTTCATTCTTGGGTCAAGAAACCATAGTTTATCATTACATCTGAACTGTAAAATTGTCACAGTTTTCTGATAAGAACTCCAAAAACTGTAGTGTGGTACAGGTTTGCAGAACTGTTAAAATGTAGAAACGATAGGGATGTTTTCAACTAAATTATACTCAGAGTAGATTCATTTAAATTAATGGACCTGTTTTTGGGGGGGGTCTGCTGTGCATAGGAATAACATTGAATACAGTCCTTAGGCTTCCTACTTCTCAAACAAACAGATAACACATTTTTCACAGTGCCTAATACTGTTGGGTTCTCATCCCTTACTGATTCACGTGAAGATGTGGCAGACACCTTCACTTTTTATTACCATTGTTTTGTGATTTAGTGCAGTATTTTACAACTATCAGACACTCTCCCACAATTGGCAAGTGATGGGAAGTTCAAAATGGTATGGGCAAGTTAACAAGGGAAAGAATGAGACAAGCATTTTGGCTTGATCATTTATTAGCATCAGTTCTGGTTTTATTGCAGTGGACAGCTGGGAAATAAATGAGTGGGTTATGTTTATTTAATGTAACATATTCAACCTGGCGGACACCATAGTTTGCGAGCCATGAGCAGTGTAGTTCTGTGGTTTCTCGTATGCTTTTTAGTATCATTTAACGGAAGCAGCAGGACAATGACAGAAAAACATTATAAGAATATATGTTGGTCTCTTCACACTTTGGGGTTGGATCCAGACATTCATTGAATTTAGGATCCATTGAAGTTAATGGGTCATGACTTAAGTCCGAGTGACGTGGTTCACATGACACAGTAAGCCAAACTATGGCTTATCATGGTCACACAAATGCACACACGCAACTGATTTGCTCCTCCCTGGTGCTTTTTGCTCCTTCGTCACACACTGCGCTAAGCCAAACCAAGGCTTGTAGTTAAACCTTCTCCCTTTGCTAATCATACCATTGTTACAGGTCATAGCTAGCAAGGACAGAGCTTAACCATACATCCAAGTTCAGACAACATGCTAAGCTAAACCTTGCCTTGTGTGAGCAAAAAGGACCAAGCAGGAGCAAAGTGATTGCAAGCCTCTCTCCAGGAGCCCACGTATTCATGCAGTCACAGTAAACCATATTTTAGTAACTTGTTCTAAACAATTTTAAATATTGTACTTAGGGATGGGGCCACAGGTCACTTGACAGATTATCTGCTTTGCATGCAGAAAGTATCAGATTCAATCCCTGAAATCCCCAGGAAGGGCTGGGAGGGACTCTTGTGTGGAAACATGCAGTCAATATAGGCAGTACTGAGCTAGATGGACTAATGATTTGACATGGTATAAGGCAGGTTCTTATGTTGCTACATTGCTGCAACCCACCTTGGGATCTTACGGTGCAGGCGAGTAAGAAACAACAAGAACAACTTGTTAACTGAACCTGGATCCAACCTATTTTGTTTGTAGGCATACAGTACAAATGTGACATTTTAAAGTATGAATGTTACAAATATTCATATAGGTACAAGTGCATCATATAGATACACTTATCAAGAAGTCTTGATTGGCTGACTCAATAGGAGAATCTCATTTGCCCTTCACAATATGTGAAACTGCCATGTGTGACAAGGAACATTGGGGGGAATTATCACTAGGGTTTAAAATTTGATGAAACTGAAATGAAATGCACATTACTTCACCCAAATATGCACATCATGGATTACACCCTGATAACTTGTATAGATTTCAAATCAAGTGACTCATCTTAAGGAACTATTTTTATTCTTCTGAAATGCCCAAATGATGTGAAGAAATGGATACTCATACTCCATCATCTCCAGGTTTTCAGGTTTAACTGAGTAAAGAAGTCCCTGCTTACATTCCAACTATTTCTAAATTTTTCTTGGGAAAAATGCATTAATGGTTGGGGGTAAGCAAGGAAACAGTTGTCTAGATGGCAAAAAAGGTAGGGTGTTCTGTTATAAATGTGTCCAGTTTCTTATATATGTCATACACCCACCCACGTAAGCACACATCTTCTTGTTGTTTGCTCATCAAAACTAAGCCAAAAGTTATAATGTTGTTTGTTGTTGCTGCTCTCTTTTTTGATTGAAATACCATGATGGGATAGAGGCTATTTGTATGGTTTGCTTGTTTGTGAAATAATCTATTATAGATATCAGTAAGGGATGAGCGGAACAGCAATGTTTTGCACTGGAACAAACAACAGCTAAATAATTAATAGTTGAGTCAAACATGTGAATCTGACCATTTGCTTAATAACATGGCTTCCATGTTTTATTCTTCTTGAAACTGTGTAATAAAAAAGCTCATTAAAGCTTATGGACAGAGCAGTACAACAGGAAAATGCAGTGTCTTTGACTAGAAAGTTTTCAAAGGAAGCTTGCTTATGCTTACCAACATTTGTATCCTCAGTATTTACCAATAGTTTCCAAACTGGCTTCCACCCAAACAGCAAAAGTGAGACAGCAAATGTTATGGTGGGGATCAGCAATTCCCAATTAGTTTGCAAGCTGCCAAATTGCTAGTTGCTGCAAAGTTACCTCAGAACCACTATCACAGTGGACATGCCACCCTAGCAGTTATATTTAGATGCCATCATTCCATGGAAATTGTTAGCATATGAGTAGCTATAAGAAGTAGTCATTGGTCTCCCTATAGAGCTGAGTGATGCCCATGACCATTAACACTTGGCCTTTCCCATATCTACTGCTTTCTCATTCTTACTTTCTTTTCTCAACTGTGACTCCCTCCACTTACTCTAAAGAGCTAGATTGCAGGCACCAGATACCCAAGGTCAGTATCAACAACTGAGTTCTCTGTTCAATGAGAATTTTAAAAGCAGCACCATTGCTACTCCATTGTCTTTTTCTTGATATTGTACAAATTTGAGTTGTACATGTGCTCTGTTCTTTAAAAAATAGAGAACAGCAGGAGGAATGAGTAGTTATGTAATCTCTCTGAGATATTTTTAAAAACATGAAAAGAAAACAGAAACTGGAAATTATTGCCAAGCATTCCTAGGAAGAGCCCAGCTGTGCCAAAACAACCACAACTGTGTACAAACACAGAATGCAATCCTCCATTATAGAGGGCATTTAAGGCGGGTTTCCCAACTTCCTCTCTCGTGTTTCTTGGTCTCTTTTCTGATGAAGCGCATCTGGCCTCCATAACATCCAGAATTTCCCTCTAAACAGGTAACTGTTGCACTAAAAAAAGGCAGTAGCTTTCATCATAAAACATAGCCTATCTTTAGATTATTTGTGCTCTTGTATGACTACTAAACATTTCATATGTCCATATTTTTTATTTAATAATTCATATGCTGCTTTACAGAGTGGCTTGAGTAACTTTTTTTAATAAATGAAAAACCTGGGTTATATAGAAAAAATCTGCTATTTATAAAGATTCCTGCTTATCTGTAGTTGTGGACAAAGGTAGGGTTGTTGTTTTTAACATTAAATTCACAAAAGCCTCTTTCTGTCTACAGACTGACAACTCACTAAGAACAAATGTCAGCTTTGATACAAGTTATTGAAGGATTGGAGACAATTGTGTACCATAGCATTACAAACCAAGTTATTGTGAGGCCAGAAAACAAAGCCATGTATATTCTGTTCTCTTGGAGTGGAAGTGCTTGCTGGCTTTATTTCCTGTTTACTGAAGCAAGCCATCACAAGCATTAGAGACTTTGCTGTTTCATCCGAATTCTGACATGTTTTATCTTGAAAGAGGTGAACTTGAGTAAGAGTAAACAAAGGGAAGTTTGCCAATGATATTTTAAATAAATAAAAATTGTGATCAATTTGATAACACACATCCTTCTGATTCATTGTTCTCGTAAGCCTCCAAGTGCCTTGAGGTGTGTGCCTGTTTCTAAAGGAATATTGCACAGTTAACACAGAGGAACACACAGAGTGGTTTATGCAAACACGCACTGGCAAAAGTTGTTCCAAACTTTAAAGAGAAAACTGTTGCAGATCACAAGCCCTCTACTTCATGACATGTTTTCTCATTAATACGGTATGCTAAGGCCTTCATTCTTTGTTCTAAATATTGGCCTTAGGGGCCACTTATCTTCTGGGAAGAATGTAGTGGCTTCTTACCTCGTAATTGTTCCCAGGAACACCTCTGCCTGATCTGGCTTAGATTTGTAAACCACTGGGAATCCGCTATGGCTGGTGTTGGCAAGGAGTTGAGCCAAGAAAGCAATGTTTTCTCTTACATGGAGAACCCTTACATGAAGCTTCATGACATCTCTGGCAGCAAACAATTCCAGGTTTAACCTGAAAGACATAAAGCAGACAGCCAACAATTTATTTAGTAAACAAGGAACAAGGCACACCGTACCACATGAGTGTTTGATGACTTTATAATGTGCTGGTGAATTACTTCAAGCTGCAAATAAATTGGTTTTATTTTGTGAATATGTTGTTTCAAATGTAATTAGCCAATAAAGTCATTATCAAGACTTTCCTGCCTATGAGTAAGATGCTTGATAAAACCAACCAGATGTAAGCATTAGTTTTCTAAGAGAAGATAAGAGCCATTAATCAGTTTCCATGAGTTTTTCTGCTTTTTAAAAAATGTTTTAATTCAAAATGAAATCCCCAGAAAATTATGTTCAGATTACAAAAAGTTCTTGGAACTAGGAGGAGAATGTAAAGAAGAAATAAAACTTTCATAATAACATAACAACAGTTAAAATGGTTCTCACCAATTGTTCACCGAGCTCAATAAGCTGCTGTGATCACTGATGACCTCTTGGAGATATATGAAACATTAACAACTACTCTGGTCATGTTGTACAGATATCAGAGAACATCTGTACCACATCTGTTCTATTTAAATTATTTTAAGTGTTGTTTATAAAGCTTGGTTGGCCACCATGAAAATTCTGTAGAGGCATGTTGGCACAGTACAAATTTTAAGAGAAAATCTGGTGTCACTAGAGGATTTCAACACTCTTGCTCCAAGGAGCTCAGGACATTGGATATGCTTCTCCCCTTTAACAACACTGTGTGCTACAGTAGGCAAAGAGATAGTGACTGACCCAATGTCACTCAGTGAGCTTCATGCAGAGTAGCAATTTGGCCCTTGGTGAAAGGCAGTGTTTTATTTCTTGGGACTACAAAATTTTTGAATACAGATGGGATTACTATACCAAGTAGTAGCCTCTAGTCTTAGTTTACTTCTAACAAGTGACAATTGTGGTGATTAGCCTTTATCTGGTTGCACCACTTCAAATTGCAGGTGGCAAATCCCATGATTTAATAGCCTCCATACAAAAAAGAAAAATCTGTACACATAGAAAACCAAATATCTGGGAAAACGTTATACTCTTCTTTCTGATATGCCATTTTTCTACATGCAGTGAATTTCTGTACAAAGGACCATTCAGCCATCTACCACCTTGAATGGTACCCTCTAGAAACAAAGTTACCACTTCATGCACTGCTTGTTGGAATTAGAGCTGGCTGGCTGACTTTTTTTGTCCATTCAAGATTGGTCAAGTCTCCAAGGGCCACACTCCAGTGGTGATTGTAAGCCAGAAAACGCACCCTCTCTCTTGCATGTATGCATCATAGTTAGTCACCACTCATGAAGTCCACGACTGCACATTCACCACACATGGAAACCACAACCATACACACACATAGCACTTTTCTTTCTCTCTCTCTCTCTCTCACTCACACACACACACATCCTTACAGTGCTGGGCTGAGAGGGGAGGATGAAAATCAGCACTGTGATAAGGGCAATCACACACGCAATCACACACACACACACACACACTAATAGCAAGAGCTCTTTCTCCATAAACTTGCAGGGGGCAGGAGTTACAGCCTCAAAAATGGCTGGTAGGGAGAGAAACTCAATGACCCTTGAGGTAACAGGATCCTTGAGGGGTGAGATAGATTCTCTCCCCCACCAACCATTTCAGGGAGTGTACTCTTTCTCCCCAACCCCACCCAAGGCAAGTTAATGGCAAAAGCAATCTCTCCATTAACCTGCACATGAGAAGAAAGGCTCTCCTCCCAACCTAGGACTGTGGTGGGGAAGAATGGTTTTGTGGGCCCGGTCCAGCCTGCAACCTACAGGTTCACCACCCCTGGATTAGAGTGATACCTTAGGTTGAATCTTATTTAAACCCATGACAATATTCTTCCTGAAGAACATTTTACAGTTATAAGCAGACATGCTCATGAAAATCAAAATGAGAAAACAGGCAGCTCTGCTCATTCACATCTTTCCCTACTGGATGGTTGCCTTTATCTAAGTAAACCTCACTCAGATCATTCGCATCACTTGGTGGGTATGTTTATCTATTGACTAAATGAGGGGTGTTTTTTTTCAAAACAATAGATTTTAGCTGGGCTTCTTGTAAACCATTGTTTTATTATGATAAGTAACTATTGGACCTTATATAAATACATTTCAAGAGCTTGCTTTTTGGATGGTTTTATTTTCATGATGGTTGTCAGTAACATTTAGGCAGCCACATTAAGTTTTTAACTCTGAATTGTACAGAAAATTCACTAGGTGGCAATCATGGAAGTAGTTTGCCTGTTGATATTAATTAACCTTCCTTCATAGGGGAGGCACTCTGGTGCAGATGAGGCCTATGCAAAGGGTGGAGAACTATTTCATAAGTCCTTTCCTGGTTCTCACTAGGAATGTTCTAAATGTCTCCAGGAATGAAAGTGAAAGCTGCATATAGAAATCAATCAAGATATCCAAGAGTTTAATGTAGCTCAGACTAGGCACCAGTGTGCCTAGGAGCCCAATGAGGACTGAGCATGCTCAGTGGGCACATACTATTGGGCAAGAGAAACAAAACTGTCTGGAGGAGAATGGAATAGAGTGGCTAGAATCCTGAACAGAAGCACTCCACACTGATTCGTTTGGTTGCAGACTCCACTTGCTTATTTAAAATTTGTTTATACCCAGGAACGTGGCTGCAACTGTGTCACGTGGAAGATTTTAAAAGAAAAAGCAACTATTATTTCATTTTATAGATTTATACCCTCGTCCTTCATAAAATTCCCAGGCTTATAAATCATCACATTGGGGAATTAAGCAGAGAAATCTGATCCTCTGGTGTAAGGATTGTTGTGCTAAGCTTCAAATCATAACAATAATAACTTAGCTAGTATGTTAAAGGTGTTTCACATCATTATCTCAGTAATGTTTACAAGACCCAGTAAGATGGGTCAGTGTTAGAACTAATAAATAAATTGTGACGAGCAATCCTATTGTTCTGCCAAAGCTGTGCATACAAGACGGGGTTCCCCTGCTTTGCCAGCTGGCTTATTATTCTTTATTAATTCAGAAATGAGTGTCTACTTTTGAGGAAATAGAATACACTTATGACTGAAGGAAACAAAAGTTATCATGTAAGTTAAATAGTAAGATATAAGTCGTTAAAAAGTATTTAGCCAAAAATGTTTTCCAAAAATGCTGAAGGGCCAAGGGAGACTAAGGAAAACATGGGTCATGATTAGTACCTTTTAAAAACGGATTCCAAATAGCACAGAAAGTCATGCCACAACATCACACCACAATATGGAGAGTATCATGACAGCCATGCCAACACCTTCTTTTCCCTGAAACTTGTGTCTGGTCACAGACTGATTTTCTTATTGGCCTGGTTTGCACATCACACTACACCATAGTTAAAATAAACTATGGTTTAATGTGAACAAGGAGCGTGCTGGTGGACACTGCTGGAATGGCAGTCACTTTGCTCCTCCCCAATTCCTGCTACTGCTGTACTACCAGGAGACAAACCATGGTCTGTCTTGTTGGGTAATCCCAACCCAGGCTCATGGTTTGTTGCTTTCCCAACAAAGCATGTCCAGAAGCCAAAGTTTGTTCTTGGATTGTGACTTGTAGTTTGTTTGGGGACAAGAAACCATGAGCCTGGGATCAGACAACACAAGCCAGACCATGGCTTTCTCCAGCAGCACAACAGCAGCTAGAATGCGGGAGGAGCAACATGCCCAGGAAAACCAGCATGCTGCTTGCTCATATTAAACCACAGTTTATTTTAACTATTGTTAATGTGATGTGTGAGCTGGGCCTCTCTCTCTTTCTTAGTCACACACACAGACACAAAACCAACCCATTTAATTTCAAGGTGACAATTTCGACATGCAAATTTTCAGAGTGATTTCACGATAAGTTCATTTCACTCCAGTTAAAAATGTACTGTACAAACTCCCACTTCAGAAAATCCAAGTCAGCAATATCAAAAGCTCAACTATGCAATACAATCAACTATTTAATGTAATGCCACTTTCCAACATGCTTTTATTTAAAACAATGTACAATTACTTTATCATAGTCTGAATTCTTGGCTCCTCAAATCAGTTTTATGTGGCATATCATGCAGAAACACAGAGAATTTTGACAAGCCTAACGTTAAGCTAGAACAGAACAAGCACCAGATTCACTCAGCACTTAACTTGTCCCATTAAAAAGTAGGCTGTAAGATATTTTCTTTCTGAAGTGTATAGTGGCTTATAAAAGCAGGAAGAGTTGCCAAGTTATAGAAGTGTTTGAGTACTCTTGCCCTCATTAAAAAGCACTCCCTGGCAACCAGCAGCTCTGAGTGTTCCAGTTAGCTAGCTTTTATAACAGGGAGGGGACAATTTATGGTGGTATGCAGCATAACTAGAAGTCACAGTGCATCCCTCTGTTAGACACAGCTTAATCATCCAGTATCTAGAACATAACACACTGTATGATCTGACATAACTTTTTACAAGCAAAAGTGAATATCTATGATGTGCTAAAAGAAAAGAAAAAAGAATAGAAAGCTTTGTTCCCATTGTTCATTGGTTTATTAATGGGAAGCCTATTCAACATTTGGGGATTATGCCCAGCCTTGGCTGAAAAAGGCCACAATGAATATATTACCTCTTTCCCATCACTATATATCAGAAGTTTGTATCAGAAAAGAGACACACACTTAAAATGTCTCTTCTCCAGAAATTAGATTAGTGGGCCAGAAGTACAGCTCTTCTTTCCTTGCCAAAATGCTGCAATGCCAACACTCACTATAATTTAAGCAGTTTCTTGTGATACTAGAACAAAACTCATTTTGCTTCTTGTGTTAGGAGGCAATTGCAGATAGGTCTTCATCTGATATATACATGGAGATAGCTTTGCTATGCATTTTATGTTTTCAAGGGACATGATTCTGCATTTACTATATTTTCCTATCTTGTTTGTTTTTTTCTGATGCAGCCAGAAGTTGAACTAGGTTCCTTCCAGGTTTCTGTTTGTCCCTAACTCAAAAGAAATCACACGTTATGGCCAAATCAATCTCTAAATCAGCAAATTAAAGACATCCAGTCATTTTACCCTAACTCATAGAACAGCCACAATAGGAAAATAAGAATACACTCACCATTTTTTCCTATGGCAAACAAATGGTTCAGCATCTAAGTAGGGAATGGATTTCAGCTTCAGTAAAGAAGTGTATAGAGACATGTTAAACCAGTCACCAACCATTTTGGCTAGCATGACTGCCAGCATGATGAGTAGCAAGGACTGTACATCATTTGTGATCTCTACCTAAAGTAGCAGGGAAATGAGAACATGCGTTACTAGAAAAGAAGTGTGTTGTTGATAATTAGAGGTCATCTGTTTAAACAAACCGGTTAGATGTTTTATTTACAATTACATGGTACAAAAATTCTGTTAAACAAAATACTGTAGGCTTTATGTTCCAAACTAAGAAATAACTGCAACATGATGTTACAATTAACAGCCATTTTCAGCACTTTTTGAATAGCATTGTTTGAGAGTTGAGAGTATTGTGGGCCAAATTTTATGGAACTCCCTTTCAGTTAAGGTCACGCCTGCACTCCATTGCAGCCATTCTGAAACTGATGCCTACAGCACTTTCTAAGCATGCCTGATGTGCTCACAGGCTCAAAAGAAGAAGAAGAAAACCAGTATCCACTAAAATATGGAGGACCCACTAAAGTATGGATTCTCAAAGCAAGGAAGCATTCTGCTAAGAAGCTGCCAGAAGAAACAAAAGACTTTTCCTAACCAGCCCAAACAGAAACACTATGCATTTCTCAGATGCGTTTTAGAGCTTTTTTGCTCTCCAGTAATCCCTACTTTGGGGTCACAGATAAAAATGGACAATTCAGTCAATTCCTGGTCCGTGTAACTTTCACTTTTATTCCTTCTCCATCCATTCCCTCCCTTTACCCTTTGTGTTGAACATCACTAAAATGCATTTTAAAATACTTAAAAGTTTTTTACAAGGTAGTCGAAGGGCTGACTTGATGTTTTAAAGTCTCTCCCCCACCCCTGAACAGGTAAGAGCATCTTGAAGTGGCTGGAAAGTCTGGGTAGCAAAGCAGGATGAAAATGGGGTTACAGATGTCCCTGGGAGTGATCAGAGACAGGCTAACATGACAGGTAGGGCTGGTGCCACAGTGGGTTAGTGCATCTGGATGTTAACCAGATGGTTGGTGGTTCCAGCCCCCCCAGAGATGGCTATGGGGAGGATTCTTGCATTGCAGGAGGTTGGACTAGATGACCTTTGGAGTTGCTTCCAACTCTAAAATTCTATGATTCTATGCAGTCCCACCCATGGACATTGTAAAGAAAAGTAATGACTGCCCTATCTGTATTTAACCTTGGTCAGAACGTCTTGCATGTCTTCTTTCAAAGGTAATTCTACAACATCCAGCCCATTTATAATAGATGGGTGGTTGCCTCACTACTCTTCCAATAACCTTGATGTGTGGCAACTGACATAGCCTTGCTGCCCTTATTCAATAATAGGTGAATTATGTGTGCTCCAGCACATGAGGTGTGTGAAAGAGAGAGCACTGAACCTGCAAAGAGGAGACTCACACAGATAATAAGACTGTTACAAAGCAAGTGTAAAGAATCCACTTGAATGTTTCACCTCAGCAGCCACTGAAGATGAAGTCTTAAATTATTAGGTACTGCATGTGAAACTGTCAAGACATATTTCTTCACACTTTGCCGTGAGATTAGTCAGCTTCAGCAGCTGTGTGGTTCCCCTGAGTACAAGGCACAATATAGGATGCAACCGAGGGGTGGAATTGTGCTACCCATCATCATGGATGTCACTCTCACAACAGCTACTCTCAGGTAGATGTTCATGGACCAATCTAGACATGGTAAGGGAGAGCCATGTACAAAATCACCTGTGTTTCAACACTTAAATGTAGCTGCAATGGAATGGGCAATTTGGAACAGTACAAAAGCACCATGGAAGAGGCTTAAAGCTTTCCCTCTATGCCATTTTCCTGATTGAAATTATTCTCACCAAAGCTATTATTTGTCCCATCGGAAGAAACTTGCAAGTACCCATGATATATCTGTACATTTCTCCCTGTGGGTCAAGCAGCAACTTAACGAGGGGCAATTTTAATCAGAAAAATAGCAAAGAGTGAAAGAGTGAACAGCTAACCTTCTCCCAAATCAGAATGGTGCACAGTTGCTTTTTTATGTTTTTAAATATGGGAGCTCCTATCTGGATCCTATTCTTCAAATGTAATTTAACTATGTAACACACATGTTAATTTCATTCCTTATAACTACACTTATGTATAAATATAATCTTAACTATTTTAGATTGTAGTCTCCTCAGGACAGTGATCTTTCTCTTGGCTGTTAGTAAGTCAAGTATAGTGTGCAGTGGTGACACCACAAATAATGATACAGAAACAATATAATTCTGAACAGTTCTCTAAATCATAACAGCCGCACTAACTGAGGAAAGACTCAAATTCTCCAATAAGGTTTGGCTTCTGGGGAAACACTGTATCCTCAAATAGAACTAGATCTCAAGCAAAAAAAAAATGGACAAGAGCACACCTGCTGCTCTATAAACTGATAATCTGAAAAGACCCCACCTCAAGAAAACTTGCTACTTGATTTGGGCTGCTCATAATAGGTAAAACTTCCCCATGCCCTATACCTTGTAGAAACAGAACTTACACTGAAGGGACAGATATAAGAAGTAGACAAATTAGTGCTAAGATTAAAAAAAAAATGGAAGAAAAGGAAGAGAAAGAAAAACAGGAAAAACAGCTTAACAGCCAGTAAATTTTATCTTTTAATCATGTGCAATGTAAAGTGCACTTAGGGGGCAGGGGCAGATCACAAGGAAAGATTTACTAGCTATGCTTGATTTTGCTATCTTATGTAATTTAGGTCTTATAGAGGTAACAGGCCATGCTAAAGACGACTTGCCTTTAGGGTTCCTGCTCCTATACAACCAGCACTGCTAATGGATTAAGGAAAAATACCATTAATAGGCAGATTTATAATTCATAAATCAGCAAATTAGTTTCACTTTGCTTACCTCATACATAATTGCACGCTTAGTGGAATGCTTCAGAGGCTTTTAGAAAAAAACCAACCTTATTTTAGTCACTGATGGAATTTTTCTGTAAGCCCTACAGTGATGTATGCCCCACATCATTATAACCAGTTGGCCCCTTGTCTATTATTATAGTTTTATTACATAACACATACTTATGCATTTCATTAAGAGCATCAACAGGCATGGCACATCAAAGAGAGGAGGGCAGCTGCCCAGGAAATTCAAAAGACACATTTTACATAAAACTACTGATAAAAGCCCTGGCCCTCATTATTAGTCACACCATGGTTAACTTGTTTCTCGGTTTGGCTTTCGGTTTTGAAAATGTAGACAAAATGGAACCTCATTAGAGTTGGGCCTGCTGATCCAGCAGACTTTTACTGACGATCTTTTTTACTCAAATTCATTGGAGGGGAGAATCTAGTTTAAAATGAAGTCATTAGGTGCAAAAAAAAAAATTGTAAAGGCAAAGAGGGCACCATTTTTATTTACATTCATAAAAAGGCAAGTGGCTTGTGGTAAATGTGAACTTTCCTTAAAACCTAACAGCTGCCTTCCTCACCAAGTTCCCTTTCTCTTCTTGAAAAAGATACCGCATAATCCAGCTCAGAACTGTCTAACACACTTTACAAAAGCGATTTACACCAAGGATGCACAACTCTAATAATTCTGAGGTTTTTATATTTTTACTATGCTAGCATCTTGTTATTACTGGAGTTTTGGAGATTTTAAAAGACATTGTATTGGTTTTCATTTATAACAAACAACAGTACAGCATACACTTGAAGCCTGGAAGACCGACTAGCCCAGATAATTTTGCAGTACTAAGAACAGAGAAGGTTGGTTTTTTAAATCAATTTTCTGTCAATCTTCACATACCCCCACCACCACGCACAGACATATCCCTTGCTCTGTTAACCTCCTCCTGTTCACTTCCAACTCCAGATTGCTCTATATACTATGGGATACAGCATAGTTCATACTTTCACTATGTTTCCAATGTAGACAAAGTGATGCAGGCATTTCTTCCAACTTCACCTTTAACAGGCCTACATTAGATGTTCCTACATCGAAGGGATACATAAAATTGATGCTTGCAATTCTCAAGTGCCAGGGTGGAGGGGTTATAAGGAAGTGTTGAAGCTTGGGACCATATAGAATTCATGTTCATGTTTCACTCTACTCAAGGTATGCTCGGAATCTGGGGGCAGACTCAATTAGCTACCGTAACACATTGGTTCTAGCAATGTTACTCAAATCACAGCATAAAGGTTGGTACAACCATCGGAAGTCTCTGAACAATGATGTTTAAGAAAAAGGTCGGTGCACTTGCCCATTTTTGCTTGCTCAACAGAACACTTCCACTCTGAAATTGCTGCCGCTAGTGTATGTCGAGCACAGCCAGAAAAGCGCTTAATGACGCTGACAGATGTTTTGGTGGGTTTTTGTAACAGATGGAAACCTTTTAGAAATTTATTTTCCTTTCCCAAGAGGAAATGTCAGCACGGTTGTGATCCAGTGTCGTGATACAAAGAAACTGAAGTCATGCTTTAACCATGAGCAACTACTGAGACAGTTCATCCTGGAGCATGAGCAATAGCTGTAGTTGCATACATTGGCTGAAGGTATTTGTAGCACCAGCTGCACTTCCGGTTGTACACAGAACTGTCATTGTGATTCTGCTTCTGTCTATCCTAGTCACTGCTCTAAGACTGTTCCTATCTAGCAACAAAAACCATTGCCCTCCCAATCCTCACTACTGGCTTGTCACTCCCTTCACAAATAAGGCCAGCTGTTACTTTTGGCTGCAACTGTATTTGGCTCTTGAGACGTACAATTATATCTTTCTCCAATTCAGATTTCGTTCCATTTTATCATCCAAAGCCAGTTCTTACCATCTGCATGAGGAGATTACTACTAGTTTCCGGCTGGATGTGCACCTACAGCTGTAAGGTTTGCACTTGAGCCAGCAATGTTTAAGTTATTGCTGCCTAAAGAACCAACAGCATTCTACTTTTATTCCATTTGGGCTTCCCAAAAGAGACAATGTGAATGGTTCATACCAAGATTTAATCAGATGTGGTCTTTGAGCACTTTATTAGCTATAGTACAGTTTAAGAGACTGAGTAGAGGATTTCCAACCACTCCTGTTTCTGGGCCATATAAGGGTCATTGCAATAATTTCTGTCATCCAAGATCCTCTGCCTGAGGAGATATTTCAGTGGACAGTAGAGACAGCCTGGCCAATGGACTCTTGGGGCACTTCCAGATGACCTATTTATTGGGCATTCATCCCAGTTTGCTTGCAGGGAGATTGGAGAACATTGGCTATTTTATTAACATTCATTTTGATTTGTTGGTGGGCAGGTCAAAAGATGTTGAGTCAATGCAAGTGTTATCCCACACTTTCCAGTACATTTTTCCATCGCTTTTGGGAAGTAGATTTGCTGTGCAAGAACTCCTAATCAACTATAATTGTGCATACTGAATTTGCCAGTATGTGTATGAATCCCACCCCAAAATAGTGATAGTCTAGATCTCATTCCTTTTATTTCCTGCCACACTGCATATTGCATGTCATTTGCAATAGCTGAATAATCTGTTTGTAAAGTATGTCTCCATATAGTTGCATCTGCAGATACAAATGTACTTAACTGAAGCTTGTCCCTCAACATAAAATATTTTAACCTGTCTGTATTGGCATTCTGCTGGTCCTTGAAGTCACAGCTGCTTAAACAAGCATTCCCCTGAATTTTTATGCTGTTTTAATGAGCTTGTTTTGTTATGCATTTTTATTGTGGGTGCTTATTTTAATATTTTGATAGAAGTGTTTTATTGTGTACTTTAATTATGTATGGCTATATTTTTTTACATTGGTTTTATAAAGTGTAAACCACTGACAAGCCCTTTTGGCCATCAAGCAATGGCTAATTTAATTAATTAGGATAATATAGAATACTTAAACAAACAGTCTTAAGCCTCATATAGAGTTGCATGGGCTTAAGCACAGTTATTTAACTGGGATGAAATGGACTTTTCTCCATACTGGAATAGGAGCATGTGGAAATGTTACCATCAGACCTAGTACTTTCAGCAAAAAAGAAAGGCAGAGAGCTGAGTATCAACATGGAAAAGGGAAGCAGCCAAGAACGAAGAAGTGGGCAAAAGCCTGTGGGGTCTGGTATTTCTTTTTAAAAAGCATTTTACTAACCTGTTCATCACCACCATATAACTCTTTCCAAATGGAAGACTGCATAGACAGCCAAAGCAAACATTCCAAAATTATTTTGGAACCTATCAAACGGTATCGGAAAAATGTATGCACTTTACAATTCAAGGTCACCACCTTTTAACTATGTTTTTGCATTGTCACGTCCAAGTCCTTTTTTCATCTCAAAAAGGAATATTGAAGAGTAGCCAACATTACTGCAGACCCTTCAGCTTTTTTAATTTTCTTAATGGTGCCATGATTTCTGCATACTCTGAGTTACAGCTTTTCTGTGGTAGCTGTACTGTTTCTGACCTTTTTATTATTAAAAGTCAATAGTGCTGGACACAGCTTTCAACACAGAGACTAGAAAACGTTCAGACAGGGATTTGTTGGTTTTGTTTTGCTTTTCAGATATCAAATTTTACTAACACAATCAGGGCTCCACATCACCAGCCCAGGGGAGTGGGGTCCTACATGCTTAGAATAGGCTCGCCTGTAAAGATGTACAGAGCAACCTCCTCATTCTTCACCTTACTCAGTTGTTGACCATGTGAAAAGGACAAGGAACTTCTGCCCACAAGCTCCAAGGATTCTGGCAGGGCTCCAGTTTTTCTACCACAAAGCTTTCTGAAGCAGGGCAAAGTGCTGCTGATTTTGACTGTGGTCCTCCACACTGCCAGTCTACTACTCAGAGACCCAAATACCAAATATGCTTTTGAGGCTTTTGGTAACATCATGGCAGCCAATGGCGAAACAGCATACAAGTTAGTTTATTGCATACCATTATAACTGTTAGGGAGATGGTTAGCCTTGAAACACCGCTGAAGAACGAAGCAGCTCCAACTGCGGCAAACAACCCTGGATCAATCCATGCACTGCGTTCATCAGTCTGAACCCCCAAAATGGAAACCAGTATCAAGCCAACTATCCTGCCATATAATGCACCTGTGTACCTGCAAAGGAAAAGAAGACAGTAAAGACACTTGTGTGGGCAGATAAATGGTTTTCATTTTCTCTTGGTAACTGTGCTAGCAGAGATCTGGCACTATAGCATGACAACCTGTCTCTGAATTATAGAAGGGGATTGTCTTGCTGAAAGGGTGGGCCAGCTATGCTCTGAGAAATTGGCTGGCTTGCTTGCTTGCTTGCCAATGATGTTAGATAAAATCACAGGCAAGTAGCACAGGAGTGGGAAGCATGAAGCCTTCAATGAACTAAATAAAAAAAGAACCCCTGCTTCAGTGGGAGGTGATAGTCTGGTGTTTTCCACATTTCCTGTTAAAAGACAATATGTGCCCTCCAACACTGATGTGGAACAGCAGAGCAGCATTCAACACTCTTAGACATCAAATCAACTATTTTAATTGAACTTTAAAGGTGGTATCCAATGCACTCATTCCATGAGTGCAAAAATTTACCCTGGTGAGATGAAACTCTTCTCTGAGAAGGAGAGGTTGGAGGAATCTCCAGAGAAGATATAGGAAGTGCCCAGGGGGAGAAGAGTGGTGGAAATTTCACTTTGCAATGATAATTCCTTGCACTTGCAGAACAAGTGACTTCATGCTACATTGGATACAAGTTCTCATAAAGTTCTCATAATGGTTTGGTAGGAGCTGTGTGTTGCTAATCTCTAGTGATGTCCTAAGCATTAGTCAACAGATGCCTCTGACATACACACAGCCACATACCCCACAGCATTTGAAATTGAAATGTTTGTGATTTTTTTCCCATAATAGGAGCAGCATCTTGAGGAAAGGTCTCTGATTACTGCATGACATATAAGTAGAAGCTGCATATTGAAATTTTTTTAAATCACCTGAAAAGAAAAGCTAAGTTTTGGCAATATATCTCAAAGGAACTCAAAATAATATCTCCAGGCATCCTTTTTATAGCACAGACACGATGATTTGTCACGCTGCTATCATTCCCACTTTCAATACTATTTACACCTGCCAAAGTTTTGGGGTGGTCACACTGCTTCATTTCCAATCAGTGCACATCCTGTATCTTGCCATTGCTTTACATACTGCAGATGTTCTGAGGGGTGGAGGTGTCCTGCTTTTGTTGTACCACTAGACAACCATTTTGTTGTACCACTAGACAACCATAATGTGATAACATTGGGGAAGAATTGCAGAAATAATAAAGCAGAATAAATCCACCACTAATGTGCTATTACTGTGCCAATAATACACTTCACAACATTCCTGCAAGAAAGTACCAGCCTGGAGGAGCCCAACCAACCTGAGATGCAAAGACAGAAAGGCTCTGATAAATCATTAGATCTGCCTGCTCTTTTCAGCATCTTTCTGAAGGCAGCTGACCCACTTTACTGATATGAGACATAAATGCAAATCTATTTTGTCCAGAATAAGAGGTGGATGGTATACATGACTATTTTTACACATCACCATATGTAGTAAATAACTAACCTCTTTGGTTTACATGTAGGCAGTTGCAATGTTGAAAATGTGTGGTGTAAGTGGAATGTACTGAGTGACTTTCACCATATTGGGGATTTCCGTAGAGATGCCTGCGTCCTATAGTAGCATAAAATGAATGCAATACTTACAGCATAGGTATAACCAAACCACTTGCAATGGCAGAGCCTGCTGTCAAGCAGGAAAGCAAGAAGTAGAATACAAGTGCCGTAAAAAGAGAAGCATATCCAAATTCCTCATGAGTTCCACGTCTGAATAAGTACGTGATTCCTCTCATCCCATTCTCAGCCAAGAGAGCAGCAGCTTTAAATGAGATTGAAAAGGTGGGAGGTGAGAGAAAGAACAAACAGAAGGGTTCTAATGTCCAGATAGTTTATCAAACAGGCTTCTGTGTGGAGTTACATCTGCACAGGTCTCAAAATTACTTTTTTCACAAAACCAATGGCTTAACCGTTCAATCTCAATTGGCAACTGTAAACCACAATTAAGGACATGTAAGTTGTTCAGATCCATCCCTTGCTACCTTCCCTTCCCCTCTCTACTTCCATGCCACCTTCTGTTTTTTCCATTGTCTATTACAGATTAGAAGGATGATGTGGAGGAGGCCTGTCTAGCTTTGCTTTTGCTTGTTAAACTCTACAGAGCACCAAGGACACTGATGCTGGTGGATCATTGTGACTGTGGTTGCTGTTTGTTATGCCACATCTTCCAACTCAAGATTCATTGGGCAGATAGGCAAGGCAAGTCCTTTTAGTATTGCTGCCTATCTACCTAAGCTATCATGTCCTGCGACCAAAGTCTTAAATAGGGCTGAGCTACTGAAGTCTCTAGAAAAGTATAGAAAAGCATAACATGGTTAAGAAGCATCTGAGCTCCTTGAATGCCTCAGAAACTGTTTCTAGTTTGTTATTCACAGACAACCCCAAGTAACAGTGAAATCAAAGACTTTGGTCAAATTGTGTTCTGGAGAGAAACATCATAGTTGGAGAAATGCAGTTACATGAAAGCTGGTCATTCCTATTCCTAATTCTACTCCCCACCCACCCTCCTGCATACCTTCATTAAAGGTTTGGTTGGAATAGTTCGCTCCATCTGGTCCAGTCTGGAGTGTTCCCAGGGGACAGTTATATTCTGAAATGTGCCACATAGACTGGCTTATACTTGAAAAATCAAAAATAAAAGAAACAACATTGTATCCATGAGTAGAATACATACTGCAATAGGGGGTTCAGACATACTACATGTATTGAATAACATGTGAGGCAGAGCAAGCAGACTGAGCCAGTCATCACCATCCTTAATAGACATATCTTCCCCCCAGCTCCAAGTACAACAGAGGAGCATGTAAGTGTATAGAACACATGCACCTAATCTGTATTCTCCCTTTCATAATCCTCACCCAATCTGTATTCTCCCTTTCATAAAGGGAAAGTACACATGTAGAGCCCCATAACACACCAACTAAATATAAGAAAGGTGTATTTAAGCCCTTGAAAGATCTAATATCAAAGTTCACCATCCAGCAAAGACCAGTTAGGGGTGGGACTAGCCCATGTGGACCCACAACTCCCCCTCACATGTTCTTTCAGCACATGTGTGAGTATCTGAAGTCCTCAATATCTCTCCAAAATATTTATTATCCATTGAATAACTCTAGGATTGGTGCTTGTTTGGTTCTTTTAAAGTATTCAATGATTTGGTAAACTGTTTCACTTCTATATCTTTAAATTTGGAACTAAACTTAGTTTAAGAAGAGGAGTTAGCTTTGTGTTTGTATGATTGACATCGTGCATATGTTCTGTACTTAAGCAGTTAGCCTCCATCTCTTTATTCAGAAGACAGCTCTCCTTTTTAAGCCCTTGTGTTGCAATGTAAGCCACTACTTACTTCTCTGGCTTAGTAGATGGTTCAAATTCTGGCAGGTTCTTGACTGGAGTACAGTGAAAGAAATATGGCAAGTAGACCGTTGCAGTAATGGTCAAAACCTGTACGTGTTTTTAAAAATACGTAAGAGAGAAATGTTGAATATAAAATAAACACATTTACCCTTATACACACCCACTCAAGTTCACGTTCATATAAGAAAGGTGTATTTAAGCTCTTGAAAGATCTAATATCATAGTTCACAATCCAGCAATCCATGACTAGAATTCTGGCTTCTTTTGTACTGGTTTTAGGATTGGAAATGTATGTGATTGTCTTCCGTTAGTTACTGGAACAGTTCTTCAAGATATCTAGCATTCCTACTTGTTTACCGCTGAATCAGAAAAAATGTCAGTTTGTCTGCAGATTGATGTTGGTTCTGATTCAGTGGTAAACAGAAGGTGTCCCCAGGGTAAGCAATGGAACAGATGAAAAGCTGCTTGAACCTGTAGTTTAAAAGCACAGGACAAGCAGATAACCTCTCAGACCTTTGCTTTCTAGGTACAAGACAAGCGGAAGTGTGGGCGAGCCCTAACGCTGTGCAGAATCCTCGATCGAGCTAGCCATGATTGTTGTGGTCCTGCCTTCTATTCATTAAGGCAGCAAGGGCTGAATTCACCACATCCTGGAGGTGGAGACAAGTCAGTGAAGGACAGGGGAGCATGCTATTACTGCTTTTCATCTGTTGCTAAAGCATGCAGGGACTGAAGCCACATTACTCAAAAGCAAGAGGCAGTTCACTGGACCCACTGCCCACTTTCCCACCTTCCTACAGTAGGCAATAGGTACCTGTAATAAGTGTTCTATGTTTTAAGTGTATTGCACAGGAGAATTAACAGGTGCATGATGTCTGTCCACCTTCTCTTGCTGCTTGGCTAGGGAAGGAACTATGAGGAAGTTAAGGAGGGTAGGTGAGTATGGTGGGTTTGATCTGTGTGCAAGAACTCTCCCCAAATGGTTCTTTTGTGCCTTGACCCATATTTTTCAAGTGCATCCAAACAATAGACAGTGTTGCTCATTATGCAAGGTCTTGTCTATTCTATAAACACTCATTTTGCCAGTAATATTTACCATGTGTGACCTGAGTTTTCACATGGTGGTGAGAGCAGTCAGTCAGTCAGAGGAGAAATGTGTGAGTGTATTGAAGAACAATAAGGGGAAATTCCTTAATTACAAAAGAAATGATTAAAGTCAGGCCAAGAAGCATAGATGCTGACCTGGAATCCCATGAACCTATGCTTCAAAGATCCCTGCACTCAGAATCCTTATTCATGCATCAACTGCATTTGCCAATCTCAATTCTTAAGCAAAATTCTAATGCAAGTTTTGTTGTTTTGTTTTAAACTTTTTGAAGTAATCTTTCCATGTTATTGTTTTTTGTTTGTTGTTATGGTGTGTATTGTTGCATTTTTATATTGTAAACTGGCCTGTGATCTTTAAACGAAGGACAGTATAGAAATTAAATAAATGCTAATAATAATGATGATGATGATGATGTTCCAATAGTTAATTAAGCTAGTTGTTATAAAAAATACAGTGAAGAAATAATCTTTTATTTATTGCATGGAAGGACCTCTCATTTCATAGCCTAGAGATCAGCAGCTTCTTAGCAGGAAGGTACCCAGAGTTACCTTGTTTCTTATCTATTTCCATATATGTGGGTCCCTAACCCCAAAGTCTCTGTTTAAATTTGTATGCATGTGATAAGATCAAAATATGTCTGAACAGCTGATCATAAATTTATGAATTATGGATACATTCCCAAACAATATATTATGTAGCAATATCAACAATAACTGTTGTAAATTACAATCCTAACCTGATTGTTAATGACTAGACTTCTGCATAATTCAGAAAGACTGGAAAATATTGGTAGGAGATAGATTCAGGGCCTCTGAGTATCTGCTGTTATTCTGCCAGTTCTATGTGGCAACTTAGCACCTTCCATTGTTCTAGTAACCTTTATGTTTTCAGACTTAGGTCTTAATTCTAGCTAGCACAGTTGTAACTTTGGAACACTTGGCAAAACACCATTAAGTACTTACAAGAACCAGCACAGATTCTAAGAGCTTAGCTGTTTTTCTGAGGGATGTTTTTGGAATTGTGTTGAAGAACCACATGCGTAATCTATTAATTCTTATATTCAGAAAAACAAAAAGAGCTCCTAAAAGTCCTCCAAGTATTCCAAGGAAAATGGCTGGAACAAAGGCCAACACACTCATGTCCAGTAAGTTCTTAACCTGCATTGAAGAGAAAAGAAACAATATGTTCTGTTAATTTTGCCTTGCCATTTTAGTTGACATACAGCAGCCACTCTGTTAAAAGAGGTGTGATACAACAACTCAAAAAAGAAGAAGCAGAAATTAGATGTAGAAAATGCAGGTTGTACTCGTAATAGCTTATGGATCATAGCCAAGGCCTCATGCCAGATTCTTTATTTTATCTGATGCTGTCTTCTACCTTTAGTTTTGCATAAAACCAGAATAAGCTTGGAATAGGCTACTGGATAGGCTGGCCTGCTTTGTTGGATCTGCCAGTTGTTATTTAAGAACCAACAGCATGTTTTCCCTTGAAATTATAAGTTTTGCCAGTGCCTCCCAAAGAACTTGTCATGCTGTATATATCCTTGAGGTTTCTCTATCAAGGAAATCTTTTCAGACATTGAGTTGCTTTAATCAATTTTATTCCTGTTGTAGTTCTTTAATTTCATAGAATCATAGAATTGTAGAGTTGGACAGGATCCCAAGGATCATCCCCTGCAATGCAGGAATCTCAACTAAAACATTCATGACAGATAGCCATCTAACCTCTGCTTAAAAACCTCCAAGCAAGGAGAGTCCACAACCTCTTGAGAGAGAATATTCTGCTGTCAAACAATTCTTACTGCCAGAATTTTCTCCATATGTTTAGTAGGAATCTCATTTATTATAACTGGAAGCCAATTGGTTCGAGTCCTGCCCTACAATGCTTGTTCCCTCTTCCATGTGACAGCCTTTGAGATAATTGAAGATGGCTATCCTATATCCTCTCAGCTTCCTCTTTTCTAAGCTAAACATACCAGCTCTTTTAACTGTTCCTCATAAAGCTTGGTTTCCAGACCCTTGATCAACTTGGTTGCCCACCTCTGCACACATTCCAGCTTGTCAACACCCCTCTTAAATTGTGGTGCCCAAAACTGGACAGTATTCCAGGTATGGTCTGGCCAAGGCAGAATAGAGCGGTACTATTACTTCCCTTGATCTGGACACTATACTTCTGTTGATGCAGCCTAGAAAAGCATTAGCATTTTTTGCTACTGTATCACAATATAGAACTCTTCTTTAATTCCATGGCAAGCTCATTGCTTCCTGATTCCTTTTACTTCCTATATGTCCCTAAGAAGCACGGGATCCCCAAGGGCATATTTTTAAATCTCAGAACTGTTGTGGGCACCACAAAATACCTATTTCATAGAATGACAATACTCAGAAGCCACCTCCCCTAAAACAGGCAAAACACAAACCCCAAATAAGTACAGTAACAGCTAAAACTATCAAGTCTCCAAAAATGGGGGACATTTAAAAAATGGAGGAAAGGGAGACTTGGTGGGTGCCAAGGGCAACATGGTGTCCCTATGTACCATGTTGGGGACTCTAGCCTTACAGAGACTGCTGGGTACTTTAGTACAGTAGACTACATTGTTGACCTTCTGAACGTCCTAACAGCAGATGTACGTCTTCTACAGGTGTGTAAAAGCAGCAGAGCCTTACTAAACATTTGCACTGCTCTCCATCAAGCACATGCATACCAAGAGAAATGATTTTTAAAAGGATGCAAGTAATCCCATACAATCCTATTTCCCTAAAACAGAAGCACTTGCTCAATAGCTTATAACTTGTATTTCCCTGCTCAGGATTGGGTTTTGGGGCCGGCATATGCCAGAAACAATTTCATCTGGCTTCCAGTGGCTCCAGGAACAGATGTACTGATGGAGTGCTCAGCCAGCATATTTGGAGAGTTGTGCCAGTGAATAAGCAACAGCAGTGGCATATTGGGTGTTGCACCAGATATAGGGAGCTTCCACCATATCCTATAGCAGGGGTGTGGAACCTCTTTCAGCCTGTGGGCTGCATTCCTTCTGGGCAAACTTATGTGGTTCATATGTCAACGCTGTGTGGGGCCAGAGGTAGAAAGTTCAGCAGCACTGCCCTATAGCTACTTGGCTGGCATACCTCCAGCAAAGAGTCGCCCCTTGATTCTGCTACATATAGCTTTCTCCAAAAGAAAAAAAGAACCTGCATGATATAACTGAAGCTGAACCATAAGCTATTACAAGTGAAATATGCATTATATATAATTTATTTTTGTCTTCTAACATGTTTCTTCTAACACAGTGTGCATTGCATTTGCAGCATGAGTTCATAAGATTTATATTGGTTCATAGTTCCTACTCGAGTACATTTCAGTGTGAGCCAGTGTGGTGTAGTGGTTAAGAGAGGTAGTCACGTAATCTGGGGAACCGGGTTCGCGTCTCCGCTCCTCCACATGCAGCTGCTGGGTGACCTTGGGCCAGTCACACTTCTTTGAAGTCTCTCAGCCCCACTCACCTCACAGAGTGTTTGTTGTGGGGGAGGAAGGGAAAGGAGATTGTTAGCCGCTTTGAGACTCCTGAAGGGGAGTGAAAGGCGGGATATCAAATCCAAACTCTTCTTCTTCTTCTTCTTCTTCCTGCTCTTTAAAATTCAAATCCAACCAAGATGAACTACACTTTGTTCTGAGTAGTAGCAAGTTGTGCTGCTTGGTCCTATGCACACTTATCCCCAGGTTAAGTGTGCATAGTACTGCAGAATTTATAAATAATAAATTCAGACTTCCATAAAATCCTACCCTTGGAAAATCAAGGGTCTTAAGACTTCTTTACAATGCTATGTTCAGCATAAACTGAAGAAAATCAATGTTGTTGTTTTTTCTTGAAAGACATAACCCACAAGCTCTCTGCTCAGAGTTTGGCTATAAACCATGAAAGCAGCCAGATTTCCCTGGAGCCCCACACTAAATGAAATGAAAGCATTTGATTATCTAGCCTAGCTGGCAAGCAAAAAACAACAACAGTGAAGCTGTGGTAGAAACCACATTGGCAACAGTTCCTCCAGGAGAGTGGGAGTCAAAATCAATTGCTCTTTTGTGAAATATCCTAAATAAACTTATAAAGGACTATAAACTGTAACTCAAGGCGGAAGTCATTATAATCCACTGTATTGTTCTGTATGACAATTGTGGCAAAGTGGCTTTTCTTCATGTTGAGTAAAAACTTACTCAAAGGAAGATGTTCCATAAACCAAACCAGGTGCCACTGCCAACAAGTACCTGTTTCTGATCATAGATGCACAAGTGGTATATGCACAATGTGAGCCACAATCCTGTATCTATTCTGTTGTTTCCTATAAAATGCTGCATTTTGACGTGTTTTCACCCAAACCAGTTTTAATCCAAACTGAGGGGGGGGAAACCTAGTTGAGTTTTAAACTGGTAATGTGTACACAGCCCCAAAATGAGCTAACTAGGGTTTTAAATACCCTTGAAAAGGTGTTTTCTTGCAAGACCCTGTCCAGAGAGAGCAAGTTCTCTCCCCCACCATATACCACATGTCTCTTCACCTAAACAAGGCAAGTGCAAAAAGAATGTTGCTTTCTCTGCAAAGAGTTGCACAAGGGAAATACCCTTGGAAAGAAAAGGCTGCACAGCTTGAAATGTGTCAAACAACTTTCTAAAAATAAAGTGAGTCTTGACTTCTACAGCACCTTTGGACATCTTCCATTCATTTTTGCCTTTTATTCTTGACCCTTCTGAAATCACCCAAAATCCCAAGGTCTGAATTTGAGTGGAATTAAACAAAAACCTGCCACATCATTTCTTCTTCTGTAACAGTGGCTAATAGCTCTGGCAACCAGGGTCCTGGTGGAGGTTGACATAATAGCTTCTTTTGGAAATGTCTCGCAAGCATCTAGTTAAGTCTAAGCTAAGCTGTTGGTCTGATCGGACGCAGTAGAACTGCTTGTGTTTATGTCTGGCAAATCCATGAGTGATCTCTTTTGCTATCAATATTAAGTTAATTGATATTATAAAGTACCAAAGGTATGCTGGCCTACATTCTTTTATCAAACTATCCACGAAGGAACAGCAGTTCTTTGTAAATGCTATCTGATAAAAATGAATTGTTCACAAATGTGGCATTAGGCGAACTTTCCTACGACAGGTGTTTGTTGTAATACAATCCAAAGTTTCAACTCTCTTTTCATTATATCTGCCAAGGTCTGTGTCCCTTTGTTACAGTAAGGTGGCTTAGCACAAATCCAGAAGACAGGAGTTTGTGCCAGTTTTATCCTGTCTAGCCAGAGGAGAATTATCTTCTCAGGTTAACAGCACTTAAAAGTTACTTCAATGGGCAAAACAATGTGTCAAGTATCATTATCCTACATATATGTGAAAACTGAACATGCCAAGAACCACAGTCAATTGGTCAATTGCTTACCCCCTGCCTGTCCTTGGCCCTAGAATGTAACATTAAAATTACTCGTTTTGAACATACTTGTGTTATTTGTTATGCCTGCAGAAACTTTGTTTGCTCCAGTATGGAAACCATGCCATTGATGTGCCAAAATATGTATGCAAGTTACTAAAACTAACTTGTTTTATTTACTTATTTATTTAATTTCTATACAGCCCTTCATATTAGGGTCACAGGTCAGTTCATGGGTGTAGCCAGGATTTTTGTTGGGGGGGGCAAGACTTTGTTGGGGGGGCAGGACTTTTGTTAAGGGACAGAACCGACGTGATTGGTCAGTTAGTTAAGTATTCCTGTTGTTTCACTTGATCTGGGGTGGGGGCAGCTGCCCCTCCTTGACTACGCCCATAGGGCAGTTTACAACCAAAACAGTTTCTGCTCCAAAACTGAGCCTAAACCTCAATTGAAATGGAGCTAGAAATTCAGTTTTCTCCAAGAGTGCCTGGATCTGGTCTGAGACCACCTGCTCAAGAACCTTCCCCAAGGAGGGAAGATTGGCAACTGGTCGGTAATTACTTTGATTTTCCAATGAGGGTTTCTTAAGGAATGGTTTTACTACTGCCTCCTTCAAGCAGGCAGGGACCATTCACTCTTACAAGGAGGCATAAATCACCTTCCTGGCCCAGTTAGTTTTTATCAGCCAAGAGGGGCAAGGGTCCAGAACACAAGTGGTCACCCTAACCAGTTCAAGCACCTTGCCCACATTCTTGAGCCTTAAGAATTGAAACTTATCGAACAACATAGGACTAGGCAGTGCTCTGGACACATAATGAAGAGGTCATTGTAATACTTTTTGCAAAAATAAATAAATGAGTAGCTAGTCCCTATATTGCTCAGGAGGACCTTCTTGGACAGGTAAGTGTGTTTCCATGAGCCGATTTCTTAAGAGTTTTCTCTCCCTCCTACCCACTTTTCCATTACATCCACATTCAATTATATTTGCTAAATTCCCTTATCATACATCTGGTTGAGGATCAGATGAGAAAGAACATGAGTCCACAAAGGAATACTAAAGAAGAGCCTGCAAGAAATCATATGAGATAAAGAATTCAAACATGAAATGGAAAACTATATTGGTACTTCTAGTCAGTTTTTAGGATTGTTTAAAGCACTGCTATAAAACAAGATTGTTCTGCAAAAGGTCTCTCTCTCTCTCAGTTCTCTCCATAAGTCTCCAACCTTGCCAAGAACACCAATATTATGAAGGTATTACTTGTCCCCAACTATGTTTCGCCTCAATCTTTGTTTGGATTACTCTCCAGTTTATAAAACAGTCTCCTGTGTTTTATGGCATATTCCCACAAGAAGTATGAAGTGGCATACGCCTTAAATCAGTCGAAACTGTGGTCTTTCCCATATTAAGATCCACATATGGAGCAAGCAAGTTAAGAGAGGGTCAAAGGCACATTGTAGGAACTTCCTTATTTTAAAGAAATCAGTTTCAACGTGGGGAAATATAGAAGGGAGAAGCAGCCTGGGTTCCCCACACATGATTCCCCCCCCCAATTACCTTGAAGCTGTTTCCTGCTCTGCAGGATTCCAAAGATGCATCTGCTCCTGCCCAGAGTATTCACTAAAACCAGGATGAATGTTACCCATGATCCTCTGATATTGTCCTGGTCATAATGGGGAGGCAGGAGCCATCTGCTAACAATTCAAGACACTGAGTTGTAGACCCATTGAAATTGATGGCCCTAAGTTAGTCATGTTCATTCATTTGAACGGATCTGCTCTCAGTACAATTGGATACCACTCACTGTTCTTAATCTTTAAAGCTCTTTATGGCCTTAGACATGCACACCTAACAGAATGATTTATTCCCACCTGATCTGGTGCCCTGTTCAGTGTTCCATCATTGTTGGAGGTCAAGTAGTCAACCTCAGCAAAGATTTGAGCTTATGGGGGGTGATTGTTCAGGGTTGTGGAATGGCCTTCCAGAGAAAGTTAACCAAAGCACACTTGTGATCATTTTCAGAAGAATGTTTTTATGTTGTAAACTACCCTATGATCTTCAGATGAAGTGTTGTATATAAATTTAATTTTTTAAAAATGTTAGGAGTCTGCAAGGCTTTTTTATTCAGGATGGTGTTTAGAATCTGAATTCAGTTGAGCTGGGTGTTTATTACTGCTGTTTTAGATGTTCAACTTGTTTGTAATTCTGTTTTTATGGAATTTTAATTATGATTCTTGAAAAATATAAGCAGAACCTGCTGGATCAGGCCAATGGCCCATCTAGTCCAGCATCCTGTTCTCACAGCGGCCAACCAGATGCCAATGGGAAGCCTGCAAGGTGGACCTGAGGAAAAGAGCCCTCTCCCCTCCTGTGGTTACCAGAACTGATATTTAAAAGCATTGCTGCCTCTGACTGTAGAGCCAGAGCACAGCCATCATGGCTAGTTGCTATTGATAGCCTTATCCTCCATGAATTTGTCTAATCTACTTTCAGAGCCATCCAAGTTGGGGATTGCTGCTGCCTCCTATGGGAGCAAATTCTTCCATTTAACTATGTCAGAGGTCAGCAAACTTTTTCAGCTGTGGGCCAATCCACCGTCTCTCAGACCATGTGGTGGGCCAGACTATAATTTGAAGGAAAAAATGAACAAATTCCTATGCCCCACAAATAACCCAGAGGTGCATTTTAAATAACAGGATACATTCTACCCATGTAAAAACATGCTGATTCCCGAACCGCCCGAGGGCTGGATTGAGGCGGCGATTGGGCCGCATCCGGCCCATGGGTCTTAGGTTGCCTACCCCTGAACTATGTGCTGCATGGAGCTGTACTTTCTTTTGCCTGCATGAATCCTCCAACATTCAACTTCATTGGATGACTATGAGTTCTAGTCAAAACAAAAAAAATTCCTTCCAGTAGCACCTTAAAGACCAACTAAGTTAGTTCTTGGTATGAGCTTTCATGTGCATGCACACTTCTTCAGATACGTTCTAGTGTTATGGGAAGGGAAGCTTTTCTTCCATCCACTTTTTCCAGGTCACACATAAATTTATACACTTCTATCAGGCCACCTCTTATTCACCTTTCCTCTAAACTATAAAAAGCCCCCAATGTGGCAGCTTTTCCTCATAGCATAAGCAACCTTGAACATAGGGTGAAGTGGAATATGAATATTTTAAATAAACAGGCACAGCAAAATACACATGTGGCCTTGACGTAATTTAGTGTGGATGTAGTACATACCCAAAATAAAATCCTCATCTCTGCTTTGAAAAATCCAAATTGGCCCCTGTAGACAAACCCACAGAGAGAAGAGGAGATGAGATCTGTGGTGAAGGCAGCCGTCATGCAGCAGAAGAACGTTTGCCAGGCCAGCTTGATATCCCAGAAAGAGGCCACCTCCTCCAGTGTGAATAGAAGTCCACCCACTGGAGCATGGAACACAGAGGCAATCCCTGCTCCAGCACCAGCCGTAACAAAATTCCTCCTGTAACAAAGAGGAGTATGGGGTGGGGAGAGAGGAGAGAATAGAGTTTCAGGATAATCCTATTACTTTTGATAAGTAAGATATACTCTTCATCTTTAGTTACAGGTAGGTAGCCATGTTGGTCTGCCGTAGTCGAAACAAAATAAAAAAATTCCTTCCAGTAGCACCTTAGAGACCAACTAAGTTTGCTACTAGAAGGATTTTTTTTATTTTGTTTCTTCATCTTTAGTTCACAAAATAACAACAACAACAACAACAACAACAACAACAACAACAATAATAATAATAATAATAATAATAATAATAATAATTTATTTATACCCTGCCCATCTGGCTGGGTTTCCCCAGCCACTCTGAGCGACTTCCGACAGAATATTAAAATACAATGCATAATTAATTACTTTGTCATGAGCTTGAAATAAGTGCCAATTTTACATATTTTCTCGGATCAAAATAAAGTCAAAATGATACCTGCTTTTGAATAGTGCATATGGCACTTCCAGATTGTTGCTATTTTCAGGTGGGATTCAATCCCGCAACAACAAATTCAAGTCTCACAACTATTTTTTATTAGGAGGGCTTGTGAAACAAATCCACTTCTCCAAAAGTTCAGACTTTTTGCGATGAGGCAAGTGATTAGGAAAGGTACCGGAAAGTGTAGGCTAACACTTGCAATGTCAACTAACCTTCCTGCAAGACTGAATACCAGTAGCAGCTGGTCAGGCACTAGCGGGGGGGGGGTCTGTTGCTCTCCCAGCTTTCTAACCCACCAGGTTGCTGCTGTGTATAGAGACAGGAAGGGCCCCAATTCAGGGAGCTCAGTGTGGTGCATACAGGCAGGAGTGTTGGATTGGCTCTGCCACCATGCGCTGCACTATGCCAAGCTCCTCATACCTGCCCCTCTGCTTCTCAAAAACCTGCTGTGTTGGGTACCCTACACCTACTGCCTCACCAGCCACTACTGGTGAATGCTCTCTGAGCAGCCAACATTGTCCTATCTCCCTGCAAACAAATCAGGATGAACAGGTCATCTGGAAGTGCCCGTAGCAAGCTATGCAACAGCAATTTAGCCAACTCTTGTCAAACTGAATTAACCCAAGTCCTCTATTACTAGATAGACCTCAAGGGCCAATGTATTTGGTTGTGACCCGTATCAGGTGGATTCAAACTGCCATGGGGATTTTAATGAACATGCAAAAATACTTCAGAAATCTGTGCCATTGCTCACGGGGCAAATTTCTTCCATAAGTAACAGCTTAACAAACACATCTCTAAGTTATTTCACTAATTGTTGAGGCAAGTTAAAAAGCAAAATGTATCATGTTTATTTGGGCTGTCTGGTTATCCTTGAGCCACAGATAGTTTGTAATGGCTTTTTGTTTGGAGATACAACAAACAGTATGGTCAAAGGCACATGTTTTATTTACATATTTTTATAATCCACTGTTTTAAGGCTATGGAACTTGATCATTCAAAGCTTTCCAAATGCAGGCTTGACATGAACAATAACACTGGTATAATAGATCCTGTTTAAAGTAAGATCTTACAGGGCACCCCATGGATTTGCAAATGCCAGCATTTCACAAATAGAAGATAAAGTGTTTGTGATTCATGTCCATACTGCAAGATCTGGTGATTTATCACATCCAAGTATCTTGAAAATATGTTATTTTATACAAAAGTAGCATTCTCCATGTCACATTGCATGAAGTCATTTCATGTGAGCAGCATCCATTTAAAAATCCCCTGACCATTTTGACCTGAAAGTTCTGTTTTGACCTGAAAGTTCTGTTTTGTTCACTTGAGGGCTCCATATTTTAGATTTAGGGGAGCTAGTCTCAAACATTTGTTGGGGGAGACCTAGGTTTTTTTGGGAGGGATTTATTTGTCCTGTCTCCACACTTTTTATGATAGAGGACCACTGTAGTCACCCCCAACGACACGTTCCCAAGATGGAGGGTGAGGGAACAGCTGCAGTCGCCTGTGGTTCCTGCGCAATGTTTGCCATCTTGCCAAAGGTTGCAGGCAGCTTTACCTGCAGCAATTGCATGTTGATTGCCCTCTTAAAAGACAAAGTCCAGCAACTGGAGGAACGTGTAGCTACGCTCCAAAGAATTAGAGAGCTGGAACTCTTCTTGGAAGCAACAGAGCACACCGTCTCCACCAAGGAAGAGACAGGGGACTCCCCTGAGAAGGTGGCTAGTTCACCAACACAGGAGTCAGATATATGGAGAAACGTGACTCAAAGAAGTAGGAGGCCCAGGGTTCGCTCTGATTGTTTAGAAATACGCAATCGCTTTGAGGTCCTTTCCCCTAGCATGGAAGACGAAGAGCAGACTCCATTTGAGGATCTCTCCCTCATTACAGTCGATCAGGTATATGAAGACGAGGAGCAAAGGCAGTCCTCTGGGAATGTCCAGGCGACCTTGGAACCGACAGCTCACAGAAGAACCCCGACCAGACCTAAGAGGAGGCGTGTAGTGGTGATAGGGGATTCCCTACTGAGGGGAACAGAAGCAGTGATCTGTGGGCCTGACAAGATGTCTCGGGAAGTGTGCTGTCTCCCCGGGGCTAAGATCCAAGATGTAACTGAACGACTGCAAGGAATCATAAAACCCACTGACAAATACCCCTTCCTCTTGGTTCATGTGGGAACCAATGACACTGCAAGCAATAGCCTCCAGAAGATCAAAAGAGATTACGAGGCTCTGGGCAGGAAATTGAAGCAATTAAATGCACAAATTGTCATCTCATCTGTCCTCCCAGTTGAACGACGTGGCCCAGGGAGAGAGGGAAAAATAGTGGAAGTGAACAACTGGCTTCGCAAATGGTGCAAACAGGAACGGTTTGGATTCTTAGATCACGGAATGCAGTTTCTTGAAGATGGACTTCTGGCAAGCGATGGGCTGCACCTCACAACGGTTGGGAGGAATGTTTTTGCAAAAAATCTCAGAAACCTCATCAGGAGGGCTTTAAACTGACTAATGTGGGGGAGGGAGACAGTGCTCCTGAAGGTAGGAGTCTATCAATTGATGAAGATGATCATCCAAATGTCATAGACCGAATGGAGCAAAGAGCATGCAGACCTAGTGGTGGGAGGAGAAAATCCTTAAATAAGAGACACGGGGGAATGATTAATGGACTTCAATGTCTGTACACTAATGCGCAAAGCATGGGAAATAAACAAGATGAGCTTGAGCTCCTGGTACAGCAAACTAAATATGACATAATAGGAATCACTGAAACCTGGTGGGATAAATCCCACGATTGGAATGTAATAATGGAGGGATACAATCTATTTCAAAGAAACAGACCAGACAAGAAAGGAGGAGGAGTGGCGTTATATGTCAGGGATGTGTATACCTGTGAAGAGATCCAAGATTTAGAACCTCAAAGCCAAAGTGAGAGCATTTGGGTCAAAATTAAGGGAGAGAAGAATAACAGTGACCTCATTGTGGGAGTTTACTATAGATCCCCAAGCCAAACGGAGGACATAGATGATGCCTTCCTGGAACAGATGGCCAAGCATGCAAAAGGAAGGGAGATAGTAGTAATGGGGGACTTCAATTACCCGGATATTTGTTGGATGTCAAACTCAGCCAAGAGCATAAGGTCAAACAGATTCCTCACTGCCCTTGCAGACAACTTCATTGTCCAGAAAGTGGGAGAAGCAACAAGAGGAACAGCCATTTTAGATCTGGTCCTAACCAATGTTGATGACCTGGTTAGTGGGGTAGAAGTGGAAGGATCATTAGGCGCGAGTGATCATGCTCTTCTGAAGTTTACTATACAGCGGAAAGGAGCAGCCAAGCATACTAGGACTCAATTTCTCGACTTTAAGAAAGCCGACTTCATAAAGCTTAGGGAAGTGCTGGGTGAGATCCCATGGACAGTAATACTAAAAGGAAAGGGAGTTCAAGATGGCTGGGAGTTTGTTAAGAGGGAGATAGTAAAAGCACAACTTCAGGCAATACCAATGAGACGGAAACATGGAAGGTGCCTAAAGAAGCCAGGGTGGCTATCTAAAGAACTTTTAACTGAGTTAAGATTAAAAAAGGATGTGTACAAAAAATGGAAAAGGGGGGAAACCACCAAAGAGGAATTCAAACAAATAGCCAGCACGTGTAGACACAAAGTCAGAAAAGCTAAAGCACAAAATGAACTCAGGCTTGCTAGAGAGGTTAAAAGCAACAAAAAAGGCTTTTATGGGTATGTTCGTAGCAAAAGGAAGAACAAAGAAACCGTGGGGTCACTCAGAGGAGAAGATGGTGAAATGCAAACAGGGGACACAGAAAGGGCTGAACTCCTCAATGCCTTCTTTGCCTCAGTCTTCTCCGATAAAGAAAACAATGCCCGACCTGAAGAATTTGGAGCAAATGATTCAGCAGAGGAAACACAGCCCAGAATAACTAAGGAGATAGTACAAGAATACTTGGCTAGTCTAGATGTATTCAAGTCTCCAGGGCCAGATGAACTGCATCCAAGAGTATTAAAAGAACTGGCAGATGTGATTTCAGAACCACTGGCAGTCATCTTTGAGAATTCCTGGAGAACAGGCGAAGTCCCGGCAGACTGGAGGAGGGCAAATGTTGTCCCTATTTTCAAAAAGGGGAAAAGAGAGGACCCAAATAATTACCGCCCAGTCAGTCTGACATCAATACCAGGGAAGATTCTGGAGCAGATCATTAAGCAAACAGTCTGTGAGCACCTAGAAAGGAATGCTGTGATCACCAATAGTCAGCATGGATTTCTGAAAAATAAGTCATGTCAGACTAACCTGATCTCGTTTTTTGACAGAATTACAAGCCTGGTAGATGAAGGGAACGCAGTGGATGTAGTCTACCTTGATTTCAGCAAGGCATTTGACAAGGTGCCCCATGATATTCTTGTAAAGAAGCTGGTAAAATGCGGTCTTGACTATGCTACCACTCAGTGGATTTGTAACTGGCTGACTGACCGAACCCAAAGGGTGCTCATCAATGGTTCCTCTTCATCCTGGAGAAGAGTGACTAGTGGGGTGCCACAGGGTTCTGTCTTGGGCCCGGTCTTATTCAACATCTTTATCAACGACTTGGATGATGGACTCAAGGGCATCCTGATCAAATTTGCAGATGACACCAAACTGGGAGGGGTGGCTAACACCCCAGAGGACAGGATCACACTTCAAAACGACCTTGACAGATTAGAGAACTGGGCCAAAACAAACAAGATGAATTTTAACAGGGAGAAATGTAAAGTATTGCACTTGGGCAAAAAAAATGAGAGGCACAAATACAAGATGGGGGACACCTGGCTTGAGAGCAGTACATGTGAAAAGGATCTAGGAGTCTTGGTTGACCACAAACTTGACATGAGCCAACAGTGTGACGCGGCAGCTAAAAAAGCCAATGCAATTCTGGGCCTCATCAATAGGAGTATAGCATCTAGATCAAGGGAAGTAATAGTGCCACTGTATTCTGCTCTGGTCAGACCTCACCTGGAGTACTGTGTCCAGTTCTGGGCACCACAGTTCAAGAAGGACACTGACAAACTGGAACGTGTCCAGAGGAGGGCAACCAAAATGGTCAAAGGCCTGGAAATGATGCCTTATGAGGAACGGCTAAGGGAGCTGGGCATGTTTAGCCTGGAGAAGAGGAGGTTAAGGGGTGATATGATAGCCATGTTCAAATATATAAAAGGATGTCACATAGAGGAGGGAGAAAGGCTGTTTTCTGCTGCTCCAGAGAAGCGGACACGGAGCAATGGATCCAAACTACAAGAAAGAAGATTCCACCTAAACATTAGGAAGAACTTCCTGACAGTAAGAGCTGTTCGACAGTGGAATTTGCTGCCAAGGAGTGTGGTGGAGTCTCCTTCTTTGGAGGTCTTTAAGCAGAGGCTTGACAACCATATGTCAGGAGTGCTCTGATGGTGTTTCCTGCTTGGCAGGGGGTTGGACTCGATGGCCCTTGTGGTCTCTTCCAACTCTATGATTCTATGATTCTATGATTCTATGATTCTATGATTCATTCTCTATAACTGAGTAAGCCACTATTGAAACCTATGTGAGAAGGCAATTAAAAATCAGATGAGCAGCCTTTGTTGTTATTTAGTCGTTTAGTCGTGTCCGACTCTTTGTGACTCCATGGACCAGAGCACGCCAGGCAGCCTTAAACCTCATTTATTCTATGCATTCAACATAACAGCTTTACCATATTCTATTTGGCAGCTGTATGCTTCATAATGATGGTGCTCAAAAGTGCAACATAACCAGGTTTCACTAATCAAGCTTCACCAGTCAAGGCAAACACATGTGGATGTGGATTCTGCTCCACACTCACACCACACAGCATTAAGCCCCAATGGCCACCTTTTGTCTTACTTCCAGGTAAACACATATACATTGCACTGTGAACTGCTGTTTGAAATGCTGTATTTGCTGCTGTGGAGGCATGATTTAGGAGGAAAGCTGTCTGGATTTTTGCATCCAAAACGGACCCTTGTTTCTCCTAAAGAAAGCGTCCATACAATTCTTCAGCAGTATAGCCCTTATGAGCTGAATCCAACATTGCACAAGCAAACTTCTACTTCTATTCTTTCCTCCTGCAGCCCTCAGACTCTCCCCAAATATGTGGAGACTGCCAAATGGCAGAGAAGAATGTAAAGTCCCATTGCACTGTTTGATAGCACCGGATACACAACTCTATGTTTCCACTGAAGACACCATTACAGTTACATGTTTCTATTGTTACTTTTACATGTTACCTAAATTAAGGCAGCCAGTAACCCTTTTTAGTTAACTATTGCATACTTATTTGATAAGGTCTCTTACTTGTCAGCTGAGTTCCAAAATCTGGTGAAGGAGGGGAGATTCATTCCAAGGATCTTTGGCCTGGACTGGCTCAATCCATATCCTGTTATTGCACTGGGGAAAGTATTGTGAAAAATTAATGGTATATTTAATTTGCTGATTTACAAAGTTTCAGATTAAAGAAATCAAATCAGATGGCAGAAGGCATGCAAAACTAGTTGGCTCCAAGTTGCTTTGAGTTGCTCGGCAAGAAAAAGTGACTAATAATTTTAATAAAATAGCAATGATAAATTAAATTCATTCTTTATATTATGGATTATACTCTTAAGATTTTATCTATGTGTTTTATATATATGAGTGGGCATGCAACAAAATATTGCAGTAGGAAGTGTGCTTATTTAGGGTGCCAGTCATCTAATGCCTTTTCCCAATATCCTCCATTCCATTCTCCCTATCCCTATTTTCTTTAAAATCTGTAACTTTTAAAATATTGATTTCTCACCCCAAGTGAATCATGGGACCTTCTGGTCCACAGAAGAGCCCAGATGCCACAGCCAGAACACAAGAGACAAAAGTTCCCACGAAAGTTCTGATATTAAAAATGTGTTGAATAGAAGCTCCGTTCAGAAAACCTATGACTTCCGGTAATCCACTTGGTGCACCTGTTGGACAAAAGAACTGGGAAAAGGAAAAGGCAATATTATTGTAGCAGTCACATAAGCTCACATAGCACAGCTCGAATCAAATGTTATCCAATATCCAGTCATGATTCATCAGTCAACAGGATTATCAGGTAAAAAGGTAAAGGGACCCTTGACCGTTAGGTCCAGTCGTGGACGACTCTAGGTTGTGGTGCTCATCTCGCTTTATTGGCCGAGGGAGCCAGCGTACAGCTTTCGGGTCATGTGGCCAGCATGACTAAGCCGCTTCTGACGAACCAGAGCAGCGCACGGAAACGCCATTTACCTTCCCGCCGGAGTGGTACCTATTTATCTACTTGCACTTTGACGTGCTTTCGAACTGCTAGGTGGGCAGGAGCTGGGACTGAGCAACGGGAGCTCACCCCGTCACGGGGATTCGAACCACCGACCTTCTGATTGGCAAGCCCTAGGCTCTGTGGTTTAGACCATAGCACCACCTATGTCCTGGATTATCAGGTAAACATGCCTAAATCAGGAGTGTAAGAACTTTTTCAGCCTGAGGCAACCTTCCAGGGGCCACATGCTAGGGGTAAGTGGGACCAGGGGGAAAATTGGACAGAAAAGTTAATATGAATTTTACCTTCTACAGTAGGCTAGTTTCTACACTCACAAAACACAAATACACACACCTTTTCTATCTTCCACATAGGCAAGCAACAAGCATTATCACAGGACACATTCCAACCAGGCAAACATATCATATCCTGATATTTTAAAAGCTGAGCAAGAAGCAGCTGTTCAGCACTTACCACAACCAGTCCTGAAGATACAATGATCATAGCCAGTCCAATTCCAAGTATGTATAACCAGGTCATATGAAAGTTGCCTTTCTGCCAGTTTTACAAAATAAATAGTTATCAGTAGAAAAAACTGCATAATATGGTAGGATATTCATTTGCCAAACAAATACATTGTCAATGCACATATTAGAAGAACGTAAGAGCCTTAAGGATCAGACCGATTGCCCATCTTGTCCAGCATCCTGTTTGCACAGTGATGAGTACAGCACCATTGGCCCCCATCAACTCCTCCCATTGCTAAAATATATGGACAGGACCCCCTCCAACACACACATACAATTGTCATATAGCAGATGCCAGCAGTTTCAGCTACCAAACCACCTCACCAGCCATTACAGCTCTTGGTAAAAATGTCATTCAAGCAACTAATCCAAGGATGGTATTCAACTAAGTTTTATGTAGAGCAGACCTAATGAAAAGAATGAGCATGACTAAGCTAGGTCCATTAATTTCAATGGGTCTGCTCTGAGTACACTTAGCTGAATACGTGTCTTTAAAGAACACATGTTCATAGAAGAAAGTCATCATGTGGATTTATGCTCTCTGTTTTAGAATATTTGAAATTGATCACTTGAATGAAATAGCTATTAAACAGGGAGTATTGTCTGAGCTGAAAATAGCAAGATCCCATGTCACATATATTAGGGCTGCCATACATCCAGGATTTCCCAGACATTACCGGGATTTCAAAGGCGGAAGTGATGTCCGAGGGGAATATCCAGGCAGCGGTTTGTCCTGGATCTTCAGTTTTCCTCAACAACTTTGAGGGTGTCCAGATCTTTACTTCTTGAAATATGGCAACCGTAACATATATTGCATATTAATTAACTATATTCACATTTGTTTTAAAGGATTAAAGACAAAAAGGCACTTTTGGTGTCACTTGACATAAATACAACTTACTTTATTTTCAAGAAATCCCTTTACTGCATGCCTAGCTGAGGTTACAATTCTAATTGTTTGCCTAGGAGAAATTCTGATTCAAATCAATGGAATTTACTGTTGGGCATGTATAGGATTGTGTGTGGTTTCCTATTTAGAACAAACTTTATTTTAATATTACTTAAAATGTAATTTGACTGTTAATTATTTTAAGATTTTGCAGCCTCATCTTTCTCAAGGCAAATGCTCATCAAAATGCTCCTCCTGAATAATACCATAACTACCCATATATCCCAATATCCAATTAACAAAGGCTGTGCAGTTTTCTTAGTGAATACCTTATAGAATTATTATAGAAAGTTATAAAATATGCCTTCCATTCCACCAATTTTGTCTGACTGTCATCCCATTCCATTTTGAACTGTTTGTGTTTGGGTTAGCCAGAATCATGTTGTCTCCACTGCCCTTTGCAAGTAAATTGACTCCCACAAATTTGCAAGAAAAAAAGTCATTTTGTTGAGATTGGATTCTCTTGTGCCTGTAAGTCAAAGATGCTGTTTTTGTTTCTCAAATTTAAATGGCTCAGCAAGCTACCACAGATTTCCTGTCTTGGCCTCAGGTCAGATCTTTGACGGTAAATTGCAAACATGTGTTTACTCTGCAGTCATCCAGGAAGACCAGATACATGCAATTTGGGTCAACCTCTTTGCAAACTAAAGGGATAGACATAATTTATATTGGAATCTTCTCCTCTGATTACCTGAAGTTTGCTTACATGTGACTTGTAATGTCAAGATTTTGTCAAAGGCCTCTTCCCAATTTTGTTGCCTACCTTCTATTCTGCAGTTGCTCTGAGCCTGAAATCTCAGACAAAGACAACCGAGTGTATCAAAGTTGACAACTGGCTATTATGCCCCAGCTGCAACAAAACATGTCTCTCCTACATCAGTCTCTACAGCTACAGCAGGAGCTGCAACTTTACAACAGCTTGACCTCAACCTCAAAGGCACACTCCTCCATTGTCTCCCAAGGCAGACGAATGCTAACAAGAGCATGTGTAACAAAGAGCATGTGTAACAAAGGCACGGGTATAGTTGGGGGGGCAAGGGGAGCAGCTGCCCCCCTAAATCAATACAAATCAATACAAATCTGAGGTTCTGCTCCCACAACAAAAGCCTCCCCCCCAGCAAAAATTTTGGCTACGCCCATGGAAGAAGATGTTGCAACTGGTGCTATAAGGAGATGCCCTCTATGGTTATTCCTTCTTAGATCCTTCCATGCTGTGCTAGATGCAGTCTTAAGTATAATGGTTAGTCTCCATTTGTTTTCACCTTGATGGTGATGCTGTTAATCTCTGTCACATTAAAATAAGACCAGATGGACTGACTGAACCATGATGTCCTCTCTGTTGACAACTGCGTTCTTGTTGTCAACAGACTCAACAAGATGCACATTCTATACAGACTGCTCAAGCAGCCAGCATACCAATTTATTATGGGCCACAATCTAAAGAAAATAGAAACTAAGCTGTGTGTGTACCACAGGCCCAGTATTAGACCTGTCACATCAGCTATAAACACTGAGGGAACCATTATTAAATCCACTGACAATTTCTGTTATTTCAGTTGCCTATCTAAGAAAGTAGCAGTTCTCTTGGAGTCTCTCTTGGAGAACACAAAATTGGTGTAGTGTTTAAAAACTGACTTGGGGTCTTTGCTCTAACCATGGGACTATAGTTAATATATACTGCACCCCTGTGTGGTGCATTCATGGTATTTGTTATTCCTATTTTTACAACAAATAAAAATGTAAATCTACTTTGTGGCTTCATTCTTTAACATGTTATTATTTGTCATATATACACCATAACAATAATGGCTGCCACCTAAGAACTCTGGGAACTGTAGTTTTGAAAGGGTGCTGGGAATTGTAGCTCATTGAGGGGGTCACCTAACAACCTGTAGCATCCTTAAACTACAGTTCCTGCGATCCTTTGTGAGAAGCACAAATTGATATAAAGTGATATAAGAGTGTAATATGTATGATGTAAATATGGCATGTGTGACAGGCAGCAGAGCCAGACCAGAGACTGGTGATGCAGTCCCTCAGAATCCTGCCAGAGTGCTGGAACCTCTCTCCAAATGGCTACCAAGACTGCTAGTCAGAGGTGGGGTGGGGCAGCACTTTGGGAGGGAGAATAAAAGGAGCAGTTTCTGAGGGAGTTGGTGTTTTTTTGTTTTTTGTTTTAGATAGGGCTTAATTTGAGATGGGAGACAGTGATTAGGATAGGGTTTGTCTGAGAGAGTTGGTTCAAATTTGCGTTTAATATCTGTTCTGAGGAAAATATCTATAGCTAATATCTAAGCGCCGTTGTAGCTTAGAAAGTAAGACCGTGTTAAGTGTCTTGGGACAGAATACACCTAACTGGAGTTAAGTGAAGGACTGAGTCTGAGCCAGGGAAGGTAGCAGCTGTGGGAATACAGACTACCTGGGCCTCAATATAGCCAGGAGGGGATAGTTCTTCTAGATACAGAAGACTTCCAAGCCAGTAACAAGGAGTGAGGTGATCCCCTGGGTCTGTTATACTAATTAGAATGCCTCAGGTGTGGGATTGCTAAAAGAGTGGGTAACTGACTAAAAGTGCCCCTCACTCATGAACCAAAATATTAATCTGTGAAGGAAGCTGTGCTGTGTCAAAAGTATTTAACTGTAACACCTGTTGTAGCTAAGTAAAGGAACAGAAACTGAGTTAAGCATTTTACCACCTATTCAAGAAACCTGAACATCTACCTGATTTTTAGCAACTGAAGTTTAAGAAAAGCTGTGCATAGACTTCTGTGTTTAAGCCTGTGACATTTTTATATTTCGTTTAACTAGTAAATTAACTTCTATCTGAAAGAACGCATCTCCTGACCCAACTTGGTTTCACCAACCTCTTTTTGTAAATAAGACTTTTCTTATTTGATGAACTCCTGCTTGAGAGTCTAAATCACTAAGTTTTCCCTCACACAAGATATCCTGTGATAAATTGTAGAAATTTGTTTAATTGGTGTATTGTGCGGTCAGTCCACTATATTTAATTGGGGGCAATTAGCAGGGTGAGTCCACTACAGCGTGATTCTAGACTCCAACATTCTTCAAGCCTCCCTTTCACAATGCTTTATTTGTTACAGTTATGTCCAAGCAAGAATAAAAGGTGATTTTGGAGTAGACCAAAGGTCTATTGCATCCAGCAGCCTGTTTCCCACAACCAGATGCCTCCGGGAAACCTAAAAGAAAGGGCTCCCATACTATGACCAAGTTCAGGTTAGCTTAGCTTTCTCAAAAACTGTTCTTCCTAAGTGGGGATGTATGAATCTGTCAATTTCAATTACCTTGGTTCCTTATGTTTCCAATCTTAAATTCTGTTCTCCACATTTTTGCAGCAATTCATAGGGTTTTTCAAAAACCCTACAAATATATATAAAACACATATAATATAAATATTATAATATATATAATTCATCAGCATTTTAGTGCAAAGTTCTCTTAATATACACAATTTGCATTCAGTCTTCACTAATATATTTTTTATTGCAAAGCAGTCTCCCCTAATGAATATTATTTGTATATTATTTTCAGAAATCCGTGTATTGTTATGCACACTTTACCCGAGTACTGTATGTCATTCAGTGTCTGTAGAAAGAGAGGTCATCAGGGACAGAGGTGGCATGATGCCAATATCAGGTAACAAAATCTTACTTGGACTTTATTACTTCCCCCAAAGCAATTTGAACAGAGAGATTATTATTTTCTGCCATGTTACCTGAATGTAGTTCTTCACTAGTTCCCATTTCAGTTTGATGAGATAATCAATTATTTGATGGATCAGGAAACCCACTGTTCCTACTATTATTCCAATGATGCCCATCACCAACCATCGATCCCAGTCCATTCTAAAAAATAAAAGTAAAAGCAGAATTGGTATCAGTTGCAGTAACCTCAGAATGTTAATAAGTAGCCTTTTGGTAATGCGTCTAAAATGCTAAACAGTTATCATGGAATCTCGGTTTTTGAGAAGAAGAGCTGTCAGTTTCTTCTGGGTATCTCTCAGAAGAATTGTGATTGAAAGGTGTTCATGTCTTTCCAGTCACGGTTTTCTTTAACTAATCACTCAGAAGTGAAGGATTGAGACTTCTTTGTTCCACCCATATGCCTTGTTCTTTCTTCCCCAAAGCTTCAAGTCCATATCCCTAGGCAAGTATTGCCTACACCTCTAACTTGGCCCTTTGAATTGTCCCTGATCCAAATCTTAGGTTCTGCAAAACAAATTGCAGCAAGAGCAAATTGACTTAATTTTCATAATTTAATCCAGACACAACAGTTGAGAATTACATGCATAAACTTTCAAGATATCGTTTACTGGTAACAAATATGCTCCATTTAGCTCTTCTGATTATTCGCTACAGCTGCCTTAACAGCTAAAATAAGCAGGTGTGATGTCTCTTATGACTGCTCTGATGCAAGAATGTAACAATAGATCCAAGGATCCACTTCCCACTGGAAATTGGGTCTATTTAAAATTTCCAAGAATCCCAGACCTAGTTATTCTCTAAAGAAACAGAGTCTGCAGCAAGAGCAAGAAACTCAGTCTGTAATCAATCCATCCACTGTAGACTGCAACCTTTCCTGGTCACAGTGGACTTTCTTTCTTATAACAATTATAGATGTGTAACCTGCACTTTTGCAGCAAAAAATCGTCTGCCGTGATTTTCATTCCTACACTGTGTATTACCAAGTTTTATGTTTTTATAAACTGCTCCTAAGAAGACATGCTTAGGATGTTCCTGGTACCTTTTCCCTCCCTGCTGTATTTTGTGACATTCAGATTGGTACAAATGAAGGTCTTGCCCTACTGTGGATTTGGAAATTGCTCTAACCTGGCAGCAGAGTTTCCTGTGTTTTGCATCTCTTCAGAATGTGGCAGTTCCTCATTGGTCCCTAACAGAGCATTTTCCCCCAAACATCTGAGTGCACTCTTCACTGTTCCCAATAGGTGGCACCAAAACACTTTGGTTTAAGTTTATTATTCGATGTAATAATACTTTACAGTCATATGCACAAAGAGGAAATAAAGGAAAATATGTTTAACCTGTGAAAGCTTTTGGGGCGGGGGCGGAATCCTCCATGTGCAAGTGGAGTGAGCCAAGTGAAGACAGTACTATTTCATAGCCTGCAACTCACTTCAATTATCTTTCTAGGAACAGGTAGAAAGTCCAGGTGTTCTTGATGTGCTTTTAATACTTAAGCTACAAAATGATATTTTTCACCATGTCCATTTGAAATATATTTGACCCATTCTTTTGTCTCTGCTGGTCATCATGTTGGGGACTAAGAAAAATGCAGGTTTTAATTATCTGACTCTTACATAAATTATTGTACAAGCTGAGGAAAATTAGGGCATGTTCCCCACCACCACCCATATTTTGGTACATCTGCATGCCATTGATTTGAACAAGAGAGGTAAGCGTGTGGTCAGATTTTAAAAATACTTTGCTTTGAGTGAACAGCACACTTAATTAAAGAAAATGTTTTCTTAATCAGTGTGATAAAGGAGTTGGGAGAAGTTAAGCAACATGAAACCAGACCGACAAACTTTAGTTTGATCGGTTTGGATATCTTTGCCCAAAGAAACCGCAATAGCTAAAGCTGATCACTACAAAGTTTGTTGCATCAAGCCTGAAGCTAATAAGAAATATTTATTCCTAAGCCATTTCAATTATGGAACTGCTGGTGTTCGATATCACTGACTCTCATAAAGTTTAAATCAAAGCAAGAACAAACATGTGTTTTGTCAGAAAATCCTAATGTAGACAATTGAGCATTAATTATATAACTCACTCTAAGACAGAAGCAGCTGACCTCATGCTAACTGGTATATAGCAGCAAAACCCAGACCCAAAGGTATCATTTCTATATACCCATGGACTTTTTAATAAAGAAAAAAAATCACAGGCTGCACACATGTACTGCCTTCCTGCTGCACTGTAACTCTGGTGGTATCAGCCATGCCATTGGAACAGGTCTTTGGAGCAGAAGTCCAGGGCTGAACAGAGGTAGTCCCATTTGTAGAAGGCCTCACCACATTTTAAAGCAATACAGCTTACCATTTAACACAAAATGATGCTAAAACCAATAACTAATTACCTGCCTAACTACACTGGATAGTGTGGCAGCAGAACACACCTCCATGCCCTCTGTAAACTGGGTTCCTGTTATTTCTATTTGCTTCCCTTTCAACCTCCTGGGAAGAAAAGAGGGGTAAGGGGGTGCACAGGTGCTGGCACGCATCCCTGAACTCCAATATCCCAACTCCTGCTGGATTTCTTAAAACGGGTCCCAGCATAGTGGGCATGCCCTCTTCATGCCTGTTCTGCAAAGGCCTATTGAAGTAGGCAAATCCCTTATGCTGGAGTGAGAGAAAGTTGCATAAATCGTAAGGTGTGCATCCCCGACTCCAAACTCCCTTACAACTCCCATTGCTTATTTTCCCTTTCGTGTGAATTTCAAATAGGGTTCCAACTCGGTGTTACTAATTCAGTGCTAATATCCAGTGTGTACAACAAGCAGGTTGTTTATTACCTGTAGTTTTGTCCCTGCAGCCACTTCTTGTAAACGCTGCTGTGGGAAGGCAAATAATCCAGACTCTCGTGGACAGATAGGCGTTCCCTTTCTTTCTCTTGGAGGAAGTTCGCCCTTCCTGAGCAGCTTCTGCTGCTGCTGTTGCATCTGGGATCAAGAGACTCAATCAAATCTGGCTGATCTTCGGCTAGCAGCATCTCCTCTTCACCATCATGTGTGCATCTCTTGCAAGAAAGGAGGGTTGGCATTTTGAAGAATCACAAGTGGCAGCAGAAGACCTCAGACCTCTGTCTGCAAATCAATGGTTGACAAATGCACCTGGAGAGGACTTACTGACTGCTGTGCAACAAGGGCTCACTGACTTATGTTGTGGGTTGGGTTGCTTCAGTAGCAGCACCACACAGATCCTGCGTGTTTGTGTCACCCAGAACCTGTCAGAACCAGATTTTTGTTTCATAGGTGACTTTCCCACCAGAAGGGTTGGGCAGGCAGCCAACTGAACACACAGTCTTTCCTGAACAATACAGAGAATGTGAAGTCTTAGGGTTTAAAATCAAGTGGCGATTGCAGAGGGTTTGGTCATCATACTTCCCAGCCACTTAATGTAAAAATTTATATCAGGCGCTAAGCGTTCTGAACACATTGGAACAATTCTGTATCAGTTGAACTGGTAACTAGTGTGTTCTCAGGTCCATTTCAAAGCATGAGTCTTGAGCGTCCTAAATGGCTTACGGCCAGGCTATCTGTAACTGCTTATGTCCCAAGTTCAGCATCGAAGGCCCTGGTCAAGTAATCTGCCTTTAACATTGATTAGACGGGCAGGCACTAGGACAGGGCTTTTTCAGGAGTGGCACCCCTACTCTGTTGAACTCCCAACAGAGAGTTGACCCTTCTGCTTAGGATTTAAAATGGCTAAAAACTCCACTCCCAAATGCCTTTTATGTGCTTTTATTGGACTGTTTAAAAAAATGCTTATGTTGGACCAACTGTATTTTAAAGCAAGGCTAGTCAATGGGGTATCCTTGATATGTTTTTGAACTGCAACTCCCATCGTCCTTATCATTAGCCTTACTGGCTGGGCTGATGGGTGCTGTAGTTAAACAACATCAGGAGGGAACCACATTGCTTAGCCTACATTGCGTGTTTTAAAATTTCTAACATTTTTCATACATAATGCACTATTGTAATGTTATGTTTACATAATGGCTGGCCACAGTGGCAGACCTCGGGGTCTCAAATTTCAGCAGTGCCCTGTGCAATGTCAAAATGCAAGCAACAAGCAAAGAAAAAGGCTGCAAAAGGCACTAATAACAATGATTAGCACCAAGGCAGGCATTACAGAGCTGGCATCATCTGGCATCTAATGATACCCATAGCCTGGGCCCACTGCCAATATCTGGAGTTTCCGGCTCTTGCTGTTGCCTGTTTACCTACTCCCCCTAAACAAGTGATTGAGTAAGTGAACAGAGCAAAAAGAAGGAATAGTGACAAATTCATGGTTTACAACTTGTCCTCTCTCTGGGATGCGCTGTGGATTGGTCTCAAGAGAAGGAGGAAAACAAATAGGCAGTGGGAAAAGGTTATAAGAAGGTGGTGTGTGCTCTCAGGTGGGGAGTGGCACAGGGTATTTTATCTAAAGATTCCCCCAAATCAGTATCTGAAGGAGGAAGGTGACAAAAGAAAACATTTTTAGGTGCATAGCCCGCCTACCTAACCTTGAAGCTTCCACGCAATAAGGTCATTATTACTTTGGTTTAATTATAGGACATTATTGCTTCATTTTAAGAGACAGGGAACAATGCATGGATAGGTAGTGCTTCATATATACTTTTGGATGCAGATAATTGGTGGCATTCAATGTATTAACATTTTTAAATAATCATTTTCTATTTTTTATTATTATTATTTAGCGGGGAAATATAAACTGCTTCCTAAAAAAAAGTCCAAGCAGTGTGCAGATTATGTTATATATAACGGATGATTAAAATGAAGAAACCAATAAAAACAAACATGAAAAAAGCTATCATTAAAAACAAAGCACAATAAAAAAATGAAACAAATGTAAACTAAAGCATGTGTCTGGATAGGCTTACTAGAACAGAAATGTTTTCAACAGCTGTCTAAAACAGTAAAGACACCTGCCTAATGTCAAGAGGCAGGGAGTTCCACAGCACAGGTGCTGCCATGCTAATATACACTTGGGGTAGTAGAGAGGAGAGAGATCATAGTTGGCGAAACACCTCTGAATCTACTCAACAGATATTTTATCTACGTATTCTCTGAGGGCAGGAATACTGAATATCCCCTACACCGTAGCACAGCTCTGTGTTTACTGTAAACTGAAAAACAGTAACAATACTGCATGTTTACATACAGGGCCTTAGATTCGAGTTCCACAGCTTTCCAGCAGCCTGGCTGTTTATACAGTAGGGAAACAATAGAGGAATGATGCAACGGTTCAGAGTGAACAACACAACAGAGATCCACAGTCTCTGTGGCCATCTTGCAGTTACCTTTCAGGCAGCCCTTGAATTATGGGGAAATGGAAGCATGTGGCCTTTAACAGCCACTCCTAACCCCTTGACCTTTCTTAAGAGACAAAAGTTTTGTGATTTACACAAAACTTTCGGAATACCTGTGTGATGCTGTGCAAAACAGTTTTTCCTTTAGGCATGCTGCCGTGGGAATATGGCCTTCTCAGCTATGTTAGGAGGGAGGGGGAGAAAGAGATAGAAGCTCCATCTTAATTTTTACTTCAGAATAAATATGGCAAACCTGAGGATACTTAGGGACACAAACATTGAATCTTCCATCATAACCAGCACACAAATAAGTGTTTGACAGCTTTAGCTTTAAAATCATTTACCAATAAGTACTGGGGTGATATTTAATACGATTAGCACACAATGAAGATGTTGCAGAAGCATGGAAGCTGGTAGTGGCACATTACCAAGAATATCACTTCAACTGGAACTCTGCATATGCCCTGAAACTAAGCATTTAGTTTGGCTTTGTTCTGTGTAAAAGAGTGCAGTACTATTGCAAACAAACAGAGACAGTGGTATAAGGTCAGTCCCGTGAGGGGAAGCTGTAGCGGCTTAATTCAAATCTCAAACAGCCTTTGCACAAGTCATAAAATTAATGGCAAAAAGGTTAATTATATATCCTGAACTTTTATATCTAATGCAAACAGACACTCTTATTTCTTACTAAGAACCTAGAAAGAGGCATCCTCCACCAGACATCTTCCCCTGTAACTGGATTAAGTCTCTAAATATGCATTTCCTCTGAAACATTTCTAATCACCTGGCTGTGACATGTGATTGACTTGTTGACAATTTGCTACTTGTATCTTTTAAAAGTCCCTTCAGTCCTGCCCTGGTCTTTGAATTGGAGCTAATTTGTTTATTTTATTTACATATAAATAACTGGCATTATTTATTTAATGCCAGTTAGGAAGCTTAATTCCTATAATTAGGCGCCTCTCAGTTCCCACGTTGTTCAGTATCCTACCCAGGGCACTGATCTACATTTTGGGGATCCTCCAGAAGGCTTTTCTGCACCACTCTTTTCCAAGCTTGCTCTTACTCCATAGATACCTGCAGAAGCAAGACTTCTTCAGCCTAGCTAGACCCCTTACACCCCTGCTGCCTCCCCGCTCCATTCCATTGCTTCTCAGCAGTTAGTTTTCTCTTCAGGTCAGTCAGAACTATTTCAAAGAGCACAAATTACCATTATTGCCCCCAAAACCCTTTTTAATAATTTTGAACTTTTTTGGAGGGTCCCAAAGAACCCAGAACCCTCAAGGATGACCTACAAATGCTACCTTATCTTCAACCACCTTATCATAGCTTGAGCCTAGAAAACTGTATGCATCAGACATCAGGGAAGATTAGCCCTCCACTGCTTAGCCTTTGCCAATAACTCTCAACCTAGTCATGACAGTGCATGTATAAGTCACAGTGAAATTCAGACTTCTCTTCGCCCTTCATCCCACAGAACAGGTAATTGTAGGATCTTGCTTCTTCTCTCTGCCTTTCTCATTTTCCTGATCTCTACATACACAAAATCTGTTATTTCCATTTGAGCTTCTCCCCCTGGTGGCTTTAGACCTCCACTGCATACCGTCTGGCTCCTTAGTGCCTACCTATAATTGATGCTTTTGAATTATGGTGCTGGAGGACTCTTGAGAGTTCCATGGGCTGCAATAAGATCAAACCTCTCCATTCTTAAGGAAATCAGCCCTGAGTGTTCACTGGAAGGACAGATCCTGAAGCTGAGGCTCCAATACTTTGGCCACCTCATGAGAAGACTCCCTGGAAAAGACCCTGATGTTGGAAAAGATTGAGGGCACAAAAAGGGAACGACAGAGGACGAGATGGTTGGACAGTGTTCTCGAAGCTACCAGCATGAGTTTGAGCAAACTGCGGGAGGCAGTGGAAGACAGAAGTGCCTGGCGTGCTCTGGTCTATGGGGTCATGAAGAGTCAGACACGACTAAACGACTACACAACAACATAATCCATGTAAGGAAATCTCTCATAGGAACACAAGAAGAGTCCAGCTGGATCTAGCCTACGGGTGCCTATGAAAATCCCAAAAGCAGGACTCAAAAGCAACCCATTTGAGTTTCCCTAATTTTCAGAGGCGACTACTAGCTGCAATAGCATTCTGTGATAGGAACCGTTTCAGCTTATGGTCCAGGCCATGGGGTAGCCTGTGTAACTTACAACCATCTTGCTTTTTCTTTACTAATGGTTCAAGCCACAGTAGATGTAGATCACCTCCAGTAAAGATCCCCCCCAAATGAACATGCCTAGAAGATGCAGGTTCACATGTGCACAAGAGCAGGTAACAGGTGATACCAGAGGATGGGTCCCAGACCATTTTATTGCTTTGTTAAAAACACCAGATAAAAAACTGTAAAGCGAATCTATAATATGTGAGACTGAGCAAGTTTCTCCCTGTTCCATAGTACTAGAAACTAAGGGCTGCCCAATGGCAATTATTGGCAGCAGCTTCTGGACAGGCAAGAGGAAGTATTTCTTCACTCAACAAAATTAAATTGCATCAAGTTCACCAACACATGGTATGATGGTGGCCATTAGCATGGTGAGCTTCAAAACAGGATTACAGGCAGCAATTCATTGGCAGGAAGAACTGGGGTGCTCTCAAAAGGCGGAGGTGTGATGATAGGGAAGTGAAAGGAGGGGGCAATTTATTCCAACAACACCCAAGTTCTTTCCATTGAAACTGCTAACATGGGAGGGTCTAGCTTGGTGCTATCAGAGCTGCGTTCCCCTCACCCATGAGCTCACAATGATGGGAACATATCTTGCTCCAGCAAATGAATAATCAACTCACTTTAAGATGGATTATCCCTTTGCAGTAATGTCAGTTACACGAGGAGAGGAGCCCTAGAGGGCAAAGTTTGCCCATGAGTCAAAGGTCTCCCACACCTGTTCTAATGGCTCAATGAAG